TAAAAATTTAAATAAGTTGAAACGCAGTTGCGTAATCATAAAATAGAGGTCATTTTCAGAATCTACGGTTCCGAAAACATAAAAGTAGACCTTTAAATTGGATAAATTCGAAAAACTTAAATAAGTCAAAATGCAATGGCGTCATCATTAAATGGATGTCATTTTCAAAATCTACGGCTCAAGAAACATAAAAGTAGACCTTAATATTGGATAAATTCGAAAAACTTAAATAAGTCAAAACGCAGTGGCGTAATCATAAAATGGAGGTCATTTTCAAAATCTACAGCTCCGGAAACATAAAAATACACCCTCATATGAAAAATATCCGAAAAACTCAAATAAGTCGAAACGCGGTGGCCTAATCTTAAAATGGAGGTCATTTTCAAAATCTACAGCTCCGGATACATAAAAATACACCTTCATATGAAAAATATCCGAAAAACTCAAATAAGTCGAAACGCGGTGGCCTAATCTTAAAATGGAGGTCATTTTCAAAATCTACAGCTCCGGATACATAAAAATACACCCTCATATGAAAAATATCCGAAAAACTCAAATAAGTCGAAACGCGGTGGCCTAATCTTAAAATGGAGGTCATTTTCAAAATCTACAGCTCCGGAAACATAAAAATATACCCTCATATGAAAAATATCCGAAAAACTCAAATAAGTCGAAACGCGGTGGCCTAATCTTAAAATGGAGGTCATTTTCAAAATCTACAGCTCTGGATACATAAAAATACACCCTCATATGAAAAATATCCGAAAAACTCAAATAAGTCGAAACGCGGTGGCCTAATCTTAAAATGGAGGTCATTTTCAAAATCTACAGCTCCGGATACATAAAAATACACCCTCATATGAAAAATATCCGAAAAACTCAAATAAGTCGAAACGCGGTGGCCTAATCTTAAAATGGAGGTCGTTTTCAAAATCTACGGCTCCGGAAACAAAAAAGTAGACCTTTATATTGGATAAATTCTAAAAACTTAAATAAATCAAAACACAGTGGCGTAAACATAAAATAGATGTCATTTTAAAAATTTACTGATCGGGAAACATAAAAATACACCCTTATATCGAATAAGTCAAAAAAACTTAAATAATTCGAAACGCAGTCACGTAATCTTAAAAAGGAGGTTATTTTAAAAAACTACTCATACGATAACAGACCCACGCATCGAAAAATTAAAGATAATTAAATAAATAAAAAAAGGTTGAATTTGAAATGGAAAAGGTTTAATTTGAAATGGAAAAGGTTGAATTTGACTTGGAAAAAGTTTAATTTGATTTGGAAAAGGTTGAATTTGACTTGGAAAAGGTTGAAATTGACTTGGAAATGCTATATATACATTTGCCCAAGAATCTCCGAGCCAGGCTTTTACCTCCACACGCGGAAGGCAAAGCAAGACTCCGGAAGATCCCAGTGCCACTTTTCCAGTCGCATCACTAGTATTAGAAGCCAGTGGAGACTGAAAGAGGGCAATACAGCCACAGACGCTCAGGACATGAGTGGAGAAGCTGGCCATTGCCAGGACTCCAAAGGCATATTTACAAAAGATCTCGAGGCCACTGCCGTTTCAACCTTCGAGGGGGATGGTATGGATGCTCGGAGCTGGATAGGGATTGCGCTAGAGGATTGGGATGATGAATGAGGTTCTGGTGAAAGTTGGAGAATCTGGATGGGATGATGTCATGGACATATGGGATGTTAAGGTCATGGTGTAGGGTCTTGTTCGTGACATAATATGGAGCATTGACTATTGTTCGAAGGACTTTGGACTGGAAGGATTGGATGCGTTTGATATTCGATGATTTAGTTGTCCCCCACAGTTCAAGTCCGTAGGTCCAGATAGGTTTCAGTATGGTCTTGTAGATTAATAATTTGTTTTCTGTTGAGAGATGAGATCTTCTGTTTAGTAGTCTATATAGCTGACCAAATCGTCGGTTAAGCTCTTGTCTTTTAAGTCTCGTATGTGGGTTCCAAGTCAGTCTTTTGTCCAGAAGGAAGCCAAGGTATCAGACTGTGTCTGAGTAGGGAAGAGGAATTGAATTAAAAAGGATTGGCGGACAGGATCTGCGTCGAAGAGTGAAAGTTACATACTTGCATTTTGATTCATTAATTTTGATGCGCCAGTTGTTGCACCACTGCTCAATGAAGGAAAGGTGTCTTTGCAGGTTCTGGGACGCTATTAGAGGATCCGAGTGGGAGGATAGAATGGCAGTATCATCAGCAAATGTTGCTAGAAAGGTATCAGGACTTGAAGGGATGTCAGCGGTGAAAAGGATATAGAGAACTGGGCCCAAGACACTGCCTTGTGGAACACCAGCCTCAATTGGATAATGTTTGGAGAGTTCAGTGCCGCAGCGGACTTGAAAGGAGCGATTTGAAAGGTAAGATTTGAGGACTAGGTACAAGGGTTGAGGTAAATGGGTTTTGAGCTTGAAAAGCAAGCCATCGTGCCACACCCGGTCGAAAGCTTGAGCTACGTCCAGAAAGGCACCAGTGCAATATTGCTTGTTTTCAAGTGCAGAGGATATGTGGTCCACAACGCGAAGGCCTTGTTGGACAGTGGAGTGTCTTGAGCGGAATCCAAACTGATGGGAAGGAATATTGTGGGATTCGAGTATGGGTAGGATGCGTTTGAGAAGGATTTTCTCAAAGATTTTGGAAAGGATCGGAAGTAAGCATATCGGTCTATAGGATGATGTATAATTAACAGGTTTACTTGGTTTAGGAAAGAGGATAATTATGGAGTGTTTCCACACCAGGGGAAAGTGGGTTGTGCGGAGGATACAGTTGAATAGATATGTAAGGAATATAATTGCTTTTTTGGGAAGTTTCTATAATATAATTGCTTTTTTTAAATGTTTCTAGAGCATTGATAAGCTTCATGGAGCTACTGATAAGTGAGTTAAGAATCCACAGCGAATCTTCAGAAATATTCAAGATCAAGCAGGGTCTGAGGCAAAAATGTGGATGCTCACATATGCCTATGTTAACAATGTCCAGCCTTAATTGGTCACTGACTTTTAATAAATTATCATTGATAGAATTAATGAGTTTTTCAATATCCGAATCCATATCTTGTTTCATTTGATTCAACAACAATACCACGTGATTAAAGATAGATAAAATCATTCAATATGTAGTGGCATTCCTTCATTTTATGTATACCTCTCAGCACATCATACTCAGCCAAGCAAGAACCATTCAGATTGTTATAAATAATACTACTTAAATTGGGAGCATAAATCAAACAAGACTAAACAAGAGGGGTTTCCGCCATTCAATATTGCATAGTTACTGTAGTCCCAAATACAACCAAAAGTCATTGTGACATATCTAAAGAACCAAACACAATAGGGTGTCAGCCAGATGAAATTCTTGCAGCCACCTTCTATTAAACCATCACAATGGAACCATTATACTGCATTGTCATCAGTTATCTCTCTATTGGTAAAAATTTTAAAATTGAGTTAAAATTTGATAGGCAACAGTGAAACTAGCATAGCGAATAGCATTTAAAAAATATTTATAATATTTTTCAAAATAACTATGTCATTCAACACATCTAGTGGCTTCGAGTCCTGTAAATATTGGCTAATAAATCTTCTAGGAATGAATAGAAGGCAGGTAAGAAATTAGTATATCAAGATTCATCAACATTAGCTGTAAGTTTTACAGAGCTAATGAACCGGCCATTAAAGAATGTTATCTAACTAGTAGGCCCTTACGAAAAATTCAAACAGCATATTGTTAAGCGATCAAATGCCAAATTAATAAGAAAAGAAAATAATTCAACCTATCATAAGATAAAGAAATCAATTGTTACTTTATCGATAAATATAATTGAGAAAGGAAACAAAAATTAATTTAAAACTTCATTAATGTTTCGAAGCAACATGTTTCCAAATTTGAATAAGCTGTATCTTTGCTAAAAATTGTCTGATTTCAATGATTTTTTTTTTCCTTTTGTAGGGAATTTAGTAATCTTTTATATAATCAAGGAAAAAGTGTGTAATTGTTTAGTTATTCGCGAATAGTTTCTTTTCTTTCATAACTTTTTTGCCTGAATTTTCGGGATGATAGGACTATTTTACACACCTGAAGGAGAAGGAAGCCTTCAAAATTGGTGGCTCAATCTTGAGATTTGGTGAAGAATTAATGATGATGTGGCTTGTCGAAAAAAAAAACACCTTCGATAAATAATATAAACTCCTCCTCTCTCGATCATAGGAGCCTCAAGTCGACGAAATGAGACACGTATTCAATCAAAGTACTATAATTAATGTAAGGTTGTGTGGATGCAAACCCTTTGCCTTGCGTTATCTCAAAAATAGTACGTTTTTGGGCTTAAAAATGCAGGGCTTCCTTTGGACTATCCGGGTCTTGCTGTATGCATCAAAATCTTTAAAGCTCGATTTGTTTCGTATCCATGTACGGACTTACCACTGTTCCAGTATTGAAGCCTAGCTAAATGTTTGTATCAACTTTATTTATTTTAGGAAGAAAAACAAAAGCGGAGAATACGATTCGCTAACCCCCCCGTGAAATTCTAAATCCAACGGTACCCCATTCATGGTATTTGAGCATGACAGGAGCTCATATTTGGTACAAAACCGATTCCGAGCCTTACTGTAATAATATATGTGGGAATATCTCTAAGAAATTGCAAGAAAACATATAAGATTGGAATGTGCCAAGTTTTATCAAAATCAGCCATTTGAAAATCTTAATTTATATAATTTTGTCTTAAGGCACTATAATTTTGCTTTGCCATGGGATTTATATATCTGAACCAAATTTTATCTTGATTGGAAAATTGGAAGTAAGTTAAAATCGGCTACAGTATTTGATAAAAACACATGAAATACAAAACAATATATATCTCATTAAGAAGTAAACTTAAAACAAATAATAATAATATAGGTACAGGAATGAAAAATTCAATGAAGCTGAATTAGTTATAAGATTAAAAACTATTCTAAAAACCTTACAGCCATTCTTTCTGGTGTAAGCCACTCAGCTTCAGGATCCATGTTAGGTGTATGTCTATGTGGATAATAAGATACTCCGGCAATTACTTTATTAACTTCATTCAAAGCATTCATCTTTCCATTGAATGAAGATATTTGTAAAAGCCTGAAAAAAATAAATGCATAAATAATAATATCATAATTATGTATACAAAAAATTCTTTAAAAATGAATAAGACTTTAATACATTTAATAGCCACCAGTATTGAATTAATTCAAGATACCAATTTTACTTTGTTGAAATTTAAATTACGTAAAAATTCTGAAAATTTTAAACAAAAAATTATTTTATCTACTATTAATGGTATAAACATTTATCAAGAGATATATTTGAATACAGGAGGCATGCAAGTTCAAACAAGAGGAGTAAAATTAAAATAGATAACTAATAAGGAGAACCCATTAAAATTAATTTTAGTTGAAATGCTTTAAGCAATCTGAAATTTTGTTTACCCGTTTTGTCTTTTGACAGAGAAGCGATATATTTCAAATTATGAGATCAAATCTTACGCACCAAGTTCTCTTATGTCAAGGAGTATTTTATTGTTTAAATTTAATTCCTCGTATTTCAAAAAAAAATCTTATTCTTTATTATGAAAACAGTTTTAATCAATTTATGTCAAACCCAATGATGAAGGCAAAATATATATCTTGTACACCTAAATTCTTATTTATCTATAACTTAAGTCCCTTATTTACACAAATTGAGAAATAAAATGCACAAAAAAACTAGACACTTGATTAGTAATTAAAAAACTTGTAAGTAATCATAAAATTCTATAATGCTTTTTAAGAAAAGTAATTATTAACTACAGAACAATTTCAATATTTCACAAGATTACATAAAATCAAAAGGCATCATGTTGATTGGTTTAATAAAAATAATCACCTTAAAATCATCTTTAGCCTGAATATTTCAAGCTGTTTTATTGTTTCTTCTTGTCCTGATACTCTGGACACTAGGCATTTAGCAGATTTGATAATAGAAGAAATGGCATCGTTTTTTGATTCATTTTTTGCTTCTTTTTTTAGTTCTTCATCAGTTAAATTATCTAGAAATTGTGGAACTCTTTCCTAGAAAAACAAAACATATTCAAGAATACAGTTAAATAAATAGAATAGAATAGACTAACTGCAATCAAACAGTAATAATAAATAATTTCATTGTTTAGCGATGCCAGAAGAGCTGATGTCAGGAATTTATCTTCCCAACAATGCTAAATAATATTTCTTAATACTTTAGCAATTCCCGATGTAAAATTTTTCTTGGAAAAAGAATAAAATGAAATACAAATAAAAAAAATCCTACCTGAGGGCTAAATCAAAGTGATTTAAAATGACTAAATTGCACTATATTATAATATATATTTACTGAAATGAACACTGTTGATAAATAAATAAATGATATGAATTTAACTGATTACATTCATTTAAATATCTATGCCAGGGTCATCAGATGTTTTTTGATAGATCTCTAAGGCATAAATATTAAGGATTTGACTAAAATACCAACCATGGTGCCAAGATATTAAATTACGGTATAACAAATTCTAGATTGAGTTAGGCAATCAGTTATAATGAATAAGATTAGAAATTAAACCTCAGTACAATCAGTTATCACTGATAATGACCACCAATTTTCAGGCAATAGAAGATGATAATAAAGATCTAGTACATTGAAGAACACTGCTTTCACTTATCAGACTACTTTTGGGAGAAATAGATATTTTTATAAAGAGATAAGTGAAAATAATAGATGATACAACATATTCATTTAAAAAAATTAATTACCATATATTTTTCTCTGTCCATCTAATCTGTTAAAGTAATGTATTTCTATAAATACCTATTTTATGTATTATTTTTCTAAAATCTTTAGCTTTCAAAAAGAATAATCAAGTCTAAGAAAAGAAAATGGATGAATGATAACCTTCAGGAAATAGAAGAAGCAGCAATGAGACCAGAAAGTTCTACAAGGCGGTCCAGCAGCAGAAAACAGGTATCAGAAATAATTACCTGGTTATAAGGAATGAAGATGGATGCCTAGTGGTCACAGAAACAGAGCTGCAAGAACACAACACTCCTTGAATCTGAGCAGTGTCGAAGTCACGAGCCCAGTAAATTGTGTTAGTTTCATAAATGGGGAATGAAAATATTCCACCAGAAAAAGAGGATATTAAAGCTATTGTGGAGAAGCTAAAAAGCAACAAGGCTCCTGGACCAGATGGAATACGTGCAAAATTTTTAAAAGTGGCAAATGACGCATTAGCCAGTGAGATAGATAGCTAAATCTCACAAATTTGGCAAGTAGAAAGGATGCCGAAAGACTAGTCAGAAGAAAAAGTTGTTCCACTCTATAAAAACAATATTCTCCCTGCGACTGATATGTGAGAAAATGAAGGAATTCTAAAATACTATGTGGTTGCTATTCATTGATTATAAGGCAGCTTGTAATTCTATTTTAAGAGATGAACTGTGTCAGGCAATGAAGGAGATGAATATTCCTTTAAAAATCATCAGGCTGGTAATGTGTACAATGAATGATACAAGCAGCAAGCTTAAAGTTAATGGTAAGCTGACTAGTGCATTTCATGTAAACACTGGACTCAGAGAAGATAATTCTTCAGAACCGCTGCTTTTCAACATCTTACTACAAACTATAGTAGTAAGAGCCTGTCTGGATGAGAATGGTAATAGCTGGAAGGTCTCTCCTTAATGACAAAGATGCATTTAAGAAGCTGAAAAGGGAAACCAGATGATTTGGCCTAGAGATGAATGAAGAAAAGACCAAGATTATGGTTTTGAGAACAAAAGGAACCCAGGCACACCTAGATATGTATTACAGTCGGAAACTAAACATTCCAATGTGTAGATAGTTTTAAATACCTCAGGGCACAATTTAATGTAGCATTAGATGAGAAGGAGAAAATCCAGGCACACATTTTCTCAGCTAATAAAGCTTTTTCCTCTATTAGTCAGATGGCTCGACAAAATTACCATAACATGGCGAATAAAAGCACTAAATTTAGTGTGAAGGTACACTAATAAATGAAGGGTGTACTAATAAATGTTAACCTAGGAGCCCCCCGAAATTTAAAAAAAACTTTCATGTATGGTACGGTACTAAAAACCAAATTAAAGTGTCACTTTTAACACATATAAGTAGAAACATAAAAAAAAAAAAAAAAACCTGCTGCAAATTATTACTCAATGGTTTATTATTTCGAGAGAGCTTTAAATATGTAAATGTATATATATATTTCAAAAGTTATTCTACAAATTGCCATCTTATATAATTCAGCAGATAAATTGCAAAGTTCATGAAAATCAAAATGCCATTTTACTTTTTGTTCAGGAAATGATTATATTTATATGATATAATGTAAATATCAATTTTTAAATTGATAATTTTTTTTTTTTTTTTTTTTGGGTCCCTTCCCTTCCTCGCAGTTAAAGCTATACGGGATTTTCCCAGGCCAGGGGGTGTGGGTGGGATTTAAAAGACTCCCCTGGCACCGGGACGCGAACTCGTGACTATTTTTATATCTTTTGATTTATATGACAGGTTGCCGGGCAACAGCGGTGCAGTGCACACGGCTTTAGCCCATTCGGCCACTTTCCACAGAAATGTGGAACGCTTCACGATTTTGCGTGTCATCCTTGCGCAGGGCCATGCTAATCTTCTCTGTATCGTTCCAATTTTAGTATATGTACCGCCGAAGCGAGTACATGTAAATATCAATTAATCACATGTGTATTTTATAGGTTTATTATCAAAGTATATTTACAAAATAATCACTTTCTGAACAAAAATGAAAACTGACATACCCCATTAGTATTAAAACTCCTTTATAGACAACAGTATTAAATAATTTAAATATATTTTATTAATACACAAACTATCCTAAATTAAGTTTTTAGTATACTGAGTTAACCTACAGCTGTAATTGAAAATTAACAGTAAAATAGATTTTGTTAAAAGTGATCAATTGTCATTTTAATTTTTAGTGTCATACAAGATAATTTTCAAATTTTCAGAAGGCTCCTAAGCTAACATTAATTAGTGTCTCCTAAAGTACATTCATACCAAATTTGGTGATTTTATCTGCGATGTAACAGCAACTTTAAAATTTAGCCCTAAGCCACCTGACTATATAGCTCATCTGATGAGAAGTAGATCAGTAAGCCGCTCAGCCAAGTTAAGGCTGTATAAGACACTAATTAGACCAGTCACAACTTATACATGTGAGACGTGGCCGCTTAAAAAATTAATAGTTTAGAAGGTAGATATCTTTGAACATAAAATATTAAGGTGCATTTCGGTGCCTGTAAGAGAAAATGGGGTATATCAGCTTAGAAAGAATAGAAAACTATACTCCTTATAAGGTGATATGAAGTTGTCGGACTATGTCATATACAGCGTCTGAAGTGGTTGGGCTAACTCCATTGAATGGATGAGGGTAGAACCGTCGAAAGATTATAGCAGGGTTACCCGGAAGGAGTGCCGGCACGAGGGAGGATAAAAAATATATGGAAAGACAATGTTTCAGAAGACCTCTGAAAGCTTAACATGTCCTTAAGACTCGCTGTGGACCAACAGGACTGGGCTAGAGTAATTGAGCAGGCCAAGGACTGCCTTATGCATCTGTCATGCCTATGAAGATGAAGAGCATCACATGGCGATTAGTCTATAGATTTAATTATTTTGTTTTGTTTTAATATTTCATTAGTGCATGTAACTTCATTCTTTTTTTTTCTTCATACTTTCTCCTTTAGTGTTTCGATATTTACTTCTTTATATAATCTACTCACTAGCAATTGCTTCCACAAAAATAACTAACAAAAACATTACTACACAGGTAATATGGTTTGGGATATGAAATCTGTTAAATTTAAAAATAACCTACTCTCCACCAAGAAGAAAAAAGTAAATAGGATTTCTTGAGACTAAAAGACACTCCACCACTTCCAACTTTATTCCCACTACAATTAAAATCTAACATAGCTTATTAGAGGCAGCTTCTCTTAAAACCATCAACTGATTCAAAGATGGTCTGACAGCCAAAACTAAAGCTTTAAGTGGTGATGCGTTATTTACTCTCAAGAAATCCTATTAAATTACATCTGTTTTAAAAACACAACTTAAGCATAAATATTTTACAAAAAAATTTATATGCAATGACCCAACTGTAAAATCAATATTATTTTAAAAAACTAAACCTCCGATAACATGACCCCTATCCCTTATTTATGTCGTGAAATAGTCAAATTAAGTTGGGAGCTATAAGTTGAACAATGTGGACATATTCATTTTTGTGAGGATACTTTAGCAAAAAATATTATCACAACAAGGATGTCAATGGCATAATTGCAAAATGAGAGGAGATTGATTAAAAATCAAAACCCAAGTCCGGTCAAGTTTAGAAGCTTAAAAGTATATTTAATAGGTTTTATAAAAAAAAAAAATGACTGAACCATCCTTAAGCTGGGTGGTGAACCCAGCCAAGAAGACAGTTAATTTATCAATCACCCTGAACTTTTAGTAAGAATATAGGAAACAAACAAAATGAGTTTCATAAAAATTGGAAAACTTTTTGCAAGATAACTAGAGAGAGAGAATCACTTTATTATCATAAATTATTATAATAAAAAAAATTGTTAATTTATTTAAACTAAAATTTACTTACCACAATAGGCATTAGGTACTTTACTATTGTGTGAACTGTAAGAAGTTCATAGCAAAGACCAAAAGGTTTAATTAGAGCATGAACTACAGGAACAGGAACAATTGCTCCAGACTGAAACCTTTCAACCAGGATTTGGAAACCTCCCAGGCCACCAAATCTATTTAACAAAACAAGTAATTTAATAATGCTAAAACAATATGCAGTTAGAAATATAAATTATAAATTACAACAATGCCATGGTATGTATATTCATAAACTTTAGTGTAGAAATAATGCATTCCAACAAAAGAAGAACAATCACAAGCTGAACAGACAAGGCTGTAAATATAACAAAACTCAAAGTGACAGAGATACACAGAGCTAGTACCAATTTATGATCCTACTATACCTCTTTATGATCATTTTAAACATTTTTATTTATACTCATGGGTGATAAATAGTCAGGACGCAGTCATTATACAAATTTTTTTATTTGTGCCAACATTTTTATTTATAAACAATTTTAATCAGGAAAAAAATATATAAATTTGTAAATAAACAGTTATTTTTTTACTTGTATAGTGAAAAATGAACACAGTAAAACCTTAAATATTTTGTTTTTAATTATATGTTGTACAGAATATTAAATTAAATTCCACAATATTTTAGGATAATAAATTTATCTGAAAATTACTGAATAAGCATTGAAGAATAGATAGCAGATTATTGAATGTTAAAATGTTAAGATTAAGAATAAAAAAAAAAAAAAGGAAGTCGTCCTATTGAGTATTATATCAACAAATTTGTTCACCTTATTATTCTTATTTTGTTCACAACTACTAGTTGTATTTTATTTAATCCATTGTAAATTTTAATCAATGATTAAAAAAAAATTAATCGTAAAAATAATTCTACTATTATTTATATATAAGTGATCCCAAGCAATTAAAGAACCCATCAATGGATAAACGACAATCCTTTAACAATATTTTTTCTAAAACCAAATATTGACTTTTATACAAACCTATTAATGAGATCTACAAGCCAACCCCTTGGTGTGCGGGAGTCAGGTGGCCTGGCAAATATTTCTTCTTCAACTACAGTAGATCCTACTGGAACAGTCTCACTCTGTCTTGCTGCATTGTATGTGTGAAACCTAAAAACACAAATTGTGAAATTGAATTAGCTAATTACTAATATTGATTTTTGTGGTACGTACTAATAAATAATGTATTAATTATAGCAACATTATTATTTTTTTTTATTCCTTTCCCTGCCTTTTAGGATACACAGGGTTTTTCCAGGAGAGGTTGGGGAATTATGCAAAGTTAAAAGTCCCACCAGGCACCAGGATTTGAACTCATAATTATTTTTCCACTCTTAACTTTGGTTATTAGGTTGCCGTGCAACGCGCAGTGCTGTGTACAAGCAGTAGCCCTCTTGGCCACCCATGTGTTATCTCCTATAAAGACACAAATAAAAGGTTTTTCAATTATAGAGCCACCAGATAAACTATGTTAGCCTGAAACCTTGGCCGTGCCTGTGGCCCTGGACACAGAGGAAGATCAGATGACCAGAAGAACCACAGACCTGTCCCGGAACAGACCTGTGTGAGCCGTGGGGAATCTCCGCCTGGCGATTGAGAAACAGAAGATAGGAAGGGCTCTGGGACTTCACGAGATCGATGCAGCGATCTTGAGGAACAGTGCAACTCAAATAGAGGATGAACTTCTGGCAATATGTAACCTGTGCCTGGACAGAGGGCACTTCCCATACCAATGGAAGGAAGCAGACCTAAGACTGCTGTATAAGGGGGGAGGTAAAGACAATGAACAGCTTAAGGCCTACAGGCCCATATAGCTCCTCTTAGTGATCAGCAAAGTCCTGGAGCACTTGGTAAAAGACGGGATGAAACCAGTGCTGTGGGTGGTGAGTCATTCGTGGCAATTCCGGTCAACAAAGATGACAGGCACGGCGGATGTGCTGATGCAAATGAAACGGGACCTCGATGGGGCAAAAGAGAAGTATGTATTGTTGATACTCTTCGACATATCTTCAGTATTCGATAGCATCTGGTGGGTGGCCTGTGGTGATGCAAAGACTGCAGGAATACGATACCCCCAGTAATTTATACTCCCTCATGGGTAGTATAAATCTACCTCAAAGATAGAAGAGTGAAGATCTGAGGTAGCTCCTTTGAGGTCGAGAGGGGGATCGAAAGAGGGTGCCCACAGGGCTTAGTACTCGGACCAGTGCTGTGGAAACTCGAAATTCATCAGTTGCTTGGTGAGATAGAAGGTCCTGGCAACAGCGAACGGTAAGGCTAGGGTAGGGTAAAGATGGAAGCCGAAAGAATGGCCACCATGATGGAAGAGTGGAGTGAGAGGAAGAAGCTAAGGAAAAGACACAGGTGATGCTGCTGAAGGTAAGACAGACAGAGTCCACCCAATTAACCTAATTGAAGGAGGGATGAGGGTGTGCGCGTGTCAGGAGGTCACGTACCTCAGAGGTAGGGTTACTAATACATTAAATGATCTGTCTAGGATAGGAAGCGCTTTCTGGGGGATCAAGTACCCAGTGACCAGGAAGGTTTATTAAGGAGTTGTCCTGGGGAAAATGAGGTACACATCGCCTGCATGGAGTTGCCGACTCACGAAAGATCAGAAAGGAAAACTGGCAACCATCCAGAGACTCTACTGAGAGTCGTAATCAAGTTCGAAGTCAAGAGACATAGACTCGGTTTGCTTCCAGAGGGACTACGGCGAAGGGCTGAGTTGGAGCCAGGAAAGTGTAAGAAGCTGGTGAGGGAGGACTCACTTCGGGAGTGGAACGAGCGGTGGGTGAGAAGCGAGGAAGTACTTCCTTATCGTTAGTTCCAAAATGGAGGAGAGATGGGCGAGGACATGGAGGACTCAGAGCTAAGCTGAATAAACATGGCAAGAACATCGACCCATAGTGTCCCACCTATGGGGTTCTGGACACGGCAGAGCACATAGTCCTGATTTGCGACAAGTTGGCTGGACACAGAGCCTGGCTGTCAAGGATGACAGGAATATAAACCATGCAAGAGGCAGACCTACCAAGGACTATAACCCTTACTTCACTGAGTACATCAGGAGATGGAAGGAGGTGGTGGGTTCGGAGCATTTCACCCTTGGGAGAGGACACCCACCAGATGCCAGAGAGGAAGAGACCCCGGCAGAGGACCAAGGACGAAGACAAAGGTGCAGTTCTTTCGTAAGGTGAGCAACCGCACGCTGGGCTGCACCACACGTTACCCAATATTGTATCCAAAAAATAAATATCCCAAAAGCATGTAAACAATAAAAATAAATAAAGATATAATAATAAAATAAAAAGAGTTTATTGGTGGCAGTAGCATGCACACTACCTTACTATCAACGAACCCCATATCCCAGAAATGGGCAGGTAAGAGGATAAAAAAAGTCTGCCAAGTAAGGTCAGTATAGCTTCCTCACTGTTTGCATTGGCTAAAAAATATCTATATTACAAGGCCTATATTTGTTCGCATGAGAATGAAATCTCTGGGAGAAGGCGTTTTTGGAAATTCAGCAATCCCTCAACATATTTGGGTTTGATATCCACGAGGTTTGTTCATCAGCGAATACTAAAATGCAAAATCACACAAGTTTCGCAATGCAGATTGCATATTTGATGACCAGGGATTAAAAAAAAAAAATCGAGTGCGTACTGAACATGATTATCACTACTGTTAGTGCAAAAAGTCGTATGTAAACATTGAGTGTTTTACAGGAAAGCATAAAAACTAATTGTTTCGTTATGATTTATTATTGCCCTCTGCTATTTTTCATAGTAGCAGAATGCTTATATCAGTTGCAGAATACACTATGTTCCCTTTAGCACAAAAAGAATTAAAAGCACTAACAGTAGTAATATGTACTTATAGGCAAGTTTCCACACGTAAAATCGATGTTACAAAAACTTCATAAGAGAAATAAGAAAAACTAAACTTTTTTTTCAGAGTTAACGAGACCGATACTTTTCATCAGTCAGAACAGAACTATTTAAGCTGGAATATAAAAATAAATGTAAAAATCATACATAAACTCGATACCACAATGCTGGTTGAACTTCAATATAAATAAACACAATCAAAAATAAGATTTTTTTTTTTTACAAACTCAGAGTAAAAATTTATTTAAATTTATTGAAAATTTTACGAAATCTAAGTAACGTTTGGAATCGAACAACAAAGTATAAATTAACTCTATGAATAAAACCTAAAATTTTATAACCCCATAAAAATATTGTCATAACCTAACTTCCACTCCATATGAACAGTGCCTTTCACATTTCACTGCCATTATATTGTTAACAATTATTTATATTAATTTCAATTATTAAATAGAACTCAATGAAATTCATATTAGGAAATTTCTATATTATTCTCCAAATTTCCTCCAAGTTTGGGTCAAATTAAATGTGCAATTTTCAAACTATAGGCTAGCCAAATAATACGTTTGCTAATCCAAAAGCGAAAGTATTTTTTCTAGGAGAAGTGGATAGATTTGATAAAATTCGTACCTACTTGATTATCTGTTTACCAATCCCTAACTTTCCTCCAAATTTGAGCCAAATCGTACATGCGGTTTTAGAGATATAGACGTATCAAGGAAAACACGTTTGCACATATATACGAGAAATTAGTGGACAGAATTCAATACAACAGACATTATTTTTTCACCATTACCAACCTTTAATGTAACTTTGAGCCAAATCTAACGAACCTTTTCTGCAATATTGGCATATCTAAAAAAATATGTTTGTACATGCGTAAATGGAAGTGCTGGATGGAATTTGATAAAATTGATATAGGACCATCTAGGCACCAATCCGCATAATCCCTGAAAATTTCATGAAAATACGATGAACGGTGCTAGGTGATATGCCCGTCACGTTGATTTGACTACAGACAGACACTGAACCAAATTTGATCCTTGATGTCTGAAACGTAAAACGCGAGAGGAAATTTCAGATAAAAAAAAAAAATTGTGAATAATTTACAATTGTTTTAAAAACAGAACTTAGCTTAATTTAGCCACTTAAAATTCATCTTTAAATTGTTTTAAAAATGACAAACTTTTTATTCAAGAAAAAACACGACACTAAAAAAAAAAAACACAAAACTTGCATTTCCTACTTTTCTGCTGAAAATTGGCCCATTATTTATGTAAATCTTTTTATAGGCAAAAATTAAAATAATTTATATATTTTAATTTTTTTATTTATTTGACCGCAACCTCGACTAATCCTTCTCATATTATATCAATGGTCAACCATCTCTACATCATTAGAAAAAAAAACTTTATTCTAGTAACTTCTAGTACTTACATGAAGTATCTAAATAATAACAGAAATGTACAGAAAAAAACAAGATAAATACCTGTTATTTGGATTAAAAACCATTGAAAGAAGATCCAACAATGGAAACCAATCTTGAGATAATTTAACAACACACAGTTCTACAAGTCGAAGGCAATTCTGGTAAATACAATGATGAATGTTATATTTCCAGGAATTAACAGCTTCATCAGTGAGAATTTTAGTGAATGAGATCGTAAGGCCTTCACGAAAAAACCTCTGACAAGCTTCTGAACGCACGTCATCACCTGAAACAAAAAATGGATGCTAAATATGAGAAAACTAAACAGATTACTCTGATATGGATGGTTTATAAGAGTTTGCATGTGTGCAAAGAAAATAAAAGTACTGAATTTGAAGATTAAAGGTAATCCTAAATATGAAAAATTGAATTATACATGTTCACTCTAATGCAGAAAAACTTTCATGAAATCAGTTCATTTCGAAGAAAAAAAAAAACACATCAGTAATAGACATTAGATTAAACATTTGGTTAGATAATATAGTGGTTAGAGGTTACCCACACATGTCATGCAACAAAATCAGGAAAGAGCTGGCACAATAGACCACTACAGGATGGACAGGGGTTTATAAGACCATGATGTGACACAGTCATTTATTAAAAAATGTAATTTTTAAATTAATGAAATTATGGCTTAACTAAAATACCAGCTGGTCTTTTAAAAGAATTTATCTTTACATCTGACAGAGGCTATCTATATCAACACCCTAAAGCAGGGGTCTCCAAATCATGGAATGTGAAAGTTTCTTAGATTAGATGGCAAAATTTTAAAAACTGTTTCAAAAATATGAAATATAGTGAATTACTCACACGCGGGTAATTTACCATTTATTGCGTGTGATTTTTTCTCTTAGAAAGCTCATTTCAGAGCTGAAGTGTCCTTTATAGAACAAGATTTTTTTTTTTCACAAGCCATGACCCACGGGACTTGGATGGAGGTCTTGATAGGGCTCGTGGGACTTCGGAATTTAGTCATTACTGAAGCCGTATTTGAAATAAGACAGGATAACATTTCAAAATTGGCTCGATGGACTTGGTTCAAAATGAGAGAAAAGTTGGGATGCGGTAAAAAAATTAAGCCATATCAATTTTATTGAATTCCAACAAATACTTCTGGCCACATATGCTCAAATATATTTGTCTTTACATGCCTCTATTTGAAAAATCATACATTCCTCAAAGTTAAGAATTGGTGAAAAAAGTTGGTCATTTGAGGAATAGTGTACAAAGGTTGTAGTATCATCTCCATCAAATTCAATTTAACATATGATAGTTAAGAATATAATGGCTGTGAAATGTGGTAGGTAGTAAACATATGGAACATTAGTTTACATTAAAATATAGTAGTAATATGCAGTTATAAGTTTTGGGATTGTATTTGAAAATTTAATTTAAACTGTGGACAAATCTTTGTGACAGGCATAATACCAAGCACCGGTAATCAAATTTTAAGAGTTTGTGAGTTTTGTTGGATAAATGGACAATTCCAGACTTAATCAAATTCTATCTACTTCTTTTACTTAGATGTCTGTTTTTCCTTGACAAGACCGTACTTTAAAAACTTCTTCTTATCACCCAAAATCAAATCACAGACCTTGAAAATAGGTAAATATGTAATCAGAAATGGTAAACAGGCTATAATAACCTACTTAGCAAACTTTATTTTCAAGACTACTCAAAATTTATTTATAACAAATATTTAGTTATAATTCCTCAATTAACACTAAATATTATCCAGAAGAATCTCATCTAGAATTAATTCTAGGATTTTCTTTCAGATTTAGATTTAATTGATAGAATTCGCGAATTTTTATGTATACTTTTACACAGCATCAACAATAAAATAAAATCAATTTAATTTAAAAATTTTAAAACAGCTGTAAGCAAAAACTTATTGATCAACAAATCAGCATGGCATATATAACTGTAGAAAGGATTAAAACTAAATTTCATACAGCTTCAATAAAAGAATATTAGAGACCCTGCTACTTTTACAATGTTAACTTGAGAAGGACCATCCTATTGATCAAACTTTTCCTAATCATCAGTCTTCGACAAACTATGAGTTGAGGTAAAATTTTGAGAATCTTCATAAACATTAGAAAAATGAAAACAATGCCAAATTGATGCTGATGTGCCCATAGGTTGTCCAGGGAAAAGAAGAAAACGGGCAAGAAGAAAAAGAGACAAAGGAACAAAAGCTAAAAGTGCTAAACAACAGTATACTAATAGATTAAAGATAAAAAAATATCAATATATTACTATTAACTTTGTTGAAAGTAAATAAATGATATACCAACAATAATGAAGATTGGAGAAATATAAGTGGAGAAAGAAAAAAAGAATTGGCACGTATTGCTCTCCAGTTTGTTAGATGCCAGGAGTGGATTAAACGGTAAGTGTGGACTAAGCAGCTGCATGAGGCCCGGATGGCAATTAAAATCTGGTGCAGTGCGCACATAACACTACTTTCACTTACCATCCTCTTCTTAACAAAAATAAGTATTTTCAGACAAAGGGAAAGAGAAAGTAAACAGTATAGAAGCTATATTTATTTATATTTCATTGTGGTTATTCTATTTGTATAAGTACCCCTTGTATAAGTATATACAAATTTTAATATTTATATCGCTATAATCTATACAATTAAATATTAAATAATATCAACAATAGCATTTATGAAAACCGCATATGTATATTTATATATTGTCAGAGCCGCTATTATATTAAGCTCATGTTACTATGGAAGCCTGCTCTAATCTTTTAGATAAGCTCAGGTGCGCTCGTATTGCTTTGGTTCCTCAATTACAACTATTCTCCATTACAATCTCATATTTCTCCTTTAGTTAATTATCAAATTCATTCATATTTTACATTTAACTGTCTTTTATATTAGAGATCAATGTGAAATGGTCATTTTTTTCAAATAAAAAAATTGAAGGTACTGTAGGGGAAGCTAATATTGAAAATTAGCCATTTCAGCCTTTAGAGAACATCAATCAGAATAAAACCTATATTTTATTTAAAACTGTTTAATTTTACACAGTTATGATGAATTTAATAAAAATAGTTTGAGCAATTTCTGAGAAAATCATAAAAATGTGTTAAGTTCAAGATATAAAAGTGCTGTTTCCGGGTAGCCAATATTGACGAAAAAATTGCTTTAATATCCCAAGTATAAAAAAACTTTAAATATGCAATTTCATTTTCATATGACTTTTTGTTTTTGAGCTAGACTAACACACACACAGACCATTATGCGGAGCTTAGTTATTTGGACTCGGGAAACCTCAAAACATGTGTTTCCGTTGAAAATTGAGATACGAAAATGTTCACAATCACAATACTTCCCTTTACTATCTATTTTATATATAGGTAAGTGAAAATAAAAATTTAGCACTAAAATAGTTTAGAAAAATTTAGACTTGGAGCCAAGGCCCAAATAGGGTACTCATTTTAGGAGAAGGTTTTAAAAATGTGAAGGCATCTAGAATTTCTAAGGATCACCTTGACTCCAGGTTGGATGAAAGTTTGTTAGACAAATCTTTTTAACAGAAAGAATTGGTATTCAGAAATCTAATCTGCTGTTTCTAAGATGCTTTGACAGACTGTACTTTATAAACTACAACTTGAGACATAACAAATTCACAAATACCAAGAGTCTTAAAATTTTAACAACAAAAAGTATGTTAAGCCAAGAAACAGCCCTGCATGATTTTTATAACACAGTATCTACTGATGTGGTTGGTGGAACTAGTCCGGCAAGTGGCCCATATGGTCCTTTTTGTCAATCCTTAACCGCTATTTTCAGGTTGAAGCCGTATATTAACCAGAATGGGAATGTCAAGATTTATTTACCGGGACTGCCAAGAAATGAAAATTAACTGACCCAAATAGGAATCAAACACACAACATACAGATCCAAGCACTCTGGGACCCACGCCCCAACCTGTTTGGCTGCCCCAATCTCTATCAGCTAGTTAAGTAAAAAATTAAAAAATTGCAAATTTATCATTTTCAGATTAATTGAAATTTTACTACTAGAAAGTATTAGCCATTTTTGGAAGTCTTCATAAGACCATTTTAAAAATATGGGAATTTACAATGACAGACATTTTACTTTATACACTTTCTTAATTCACATTCAAGCCTTGTCTTAAAATGATTTTTGCCACTGGCTTTAAGTCTATTAAAATATCTCCACTTAATATTAATGGATGAAAACATTTAAAAAAACCTTTATATAATGATTGAACAAATGGAATAATAAAATTTTAATTTTTTAGTTTAGGAGATGGCCTCGTGATCTTCTTACTTAAAATTATTTAGAGAGTGCTACCACTGGGTAGTAACTCTTCAAGCCTGTACATGCCATTATTTATATTTGCGCATATTTACTTGTTGTATTTGTATACAGTTGTAAATTCCATTAAATAAAAAAAATAAAAAAAAAAAATTTTAGTTTAAAAATTTAAACTTCTAATTTCAGTTTGTTTGGATTTTCTACAAACTTTTTGAGGATTGGAGAAAGGCAAAAAGTTTTAACCACTTAGGGTCCCTTCCCCAGTCTTATCAGTCCCTGCTAAACTCTTCAATGGTTTCTGGTTGCTTGAATGTGTCATTAATAATGTTAATAAAAATAATAAACAATCAGAGCACAATGATTTTTATCTATTTACATTTTTTTTTTTAATTTTAACAAAACAAAAAACTGTAGTTAATTATATACTAAAATTTTATGACTAATTATTTAAAAATGTATTTATATAACTAGCATACAATTTTTTTTACTAAAGAAAATTAATAAATGCTCACTTATAAGTTATATTAACTAATCTAATAACTTTTTAAGCTGAATTAAACTTATTATGTGTAAATAATATCTATTTTGTATCTCGGTTATTTAATAAGAACCTTAAGACTCACTATGACAACAAATGACCTTCATGTATCCCAGCTATTTATCAAACAGAATTATTCATTAGTTAAAGGGCTTAGGAGCATTAAAAGAACACTACAATATTTAATAGAGGAAATATCCTATGTGGTTTTAAGAAATAAAAAAACTCAATTATTTCCTTCTAACATGAAATTCAAATATAATTGTAGAATAAATGACATGTATCACTAATAAATAAATAAATACAAATATATATATATATATATATATATGTCAATGCATCATAAAATATAATCAGTAATTGTTGAAGTCAAAATAGTTAATTTAAGCTATGAATAATTTATGATATAACAACTTCTTAATACACAGATTTGGTTACAAAAGTAGATTATTAGAAAAGAATTTTATGTAATTTCATAAATACAGGCCATTATATTAATTAAATAAAAAATAAAGGAGAAATCTACCTAAATTTTAAGTGAAAAGGAATGGTGTTACCGAATGTTTCAATTAACAAATCATTAATATAATGTACTAACACGTAAAACGTTATAAATATTCTCAGTAACGTGTGTGCACAGCACCGCCGTTGTCCGGCAATTTGACATATGACACAATGGATTTAAAATAGTCACGAGTTCGCGTTGTCGCCTTAAAAGCATCATGGAAATCCCATATAGCCTTAAAGGCGAGGACTCAAAAAAAAATGTATAACAAATTTTATTATAAAAAGCTAATCTAAGGTGGAACAGTCCAATTTTCTGAAAATGTAGCAACCAAAATGGTGATCTAAAGAGTATTATTTTAAACTGATACAGAAAGGAAACAACATATATAATTAACAGTAAAGATCATAAATTAGTACTAGGTATATCCATGAAAATAAAAGATAGTAGCTGTTGTTCAGTACATAAAAATATTGTCAAGAAACTACAATCTATTGGATAGAAAAGATATAATTGTAATTATTATCAATATCCTTTCAAATTTATCCAATAAGATTTATTTTGTGAAGGCAAAACAAAATTAAACAACTAAGATCAATAATGGTTTTACAGTTAAATTGTTCCATTTAAAAACAATTAAATGTTAAGAAAAATAATATTTATGATCAAATATATAAACTTTCCAAAACTTTGATTGATTTTATATCTCATTTAAAGTGAATCTACTTGTGTCACACTGTTTCTAGGGGAAACAAATAAACAAAACAACCAAGAAAGAAACTCAGCAAGTTCTTGCAGCTTCATAATTGAACTACATTGCATCGAGCAACTACCTATGATAATAAGTAAAAAGAAATATAATCATAAAATGAGAATAAAATATAAAAATAATCCTTTATAACAAATGTAATAAGAATAACTGGTAAATGATTACATAAAAATTAGGCGCCAACTATTAACATAATACATGTACAACTAAATTTTACATAAACTTGATTAACAATAAAGCTTAAATGAATATATGTCTCCTTCAATGACACAATATTATGAAACTATTAAATAACAAAGCTAAATGGACCGAAACATGACACTGTACTAGTCAAAACAAGAGTAAGGATTATAAGAAACTTACCAGTGCGACATAAATTGATAGCAGCTTGCATTAAACATTCTAACTCCTGTTCCGGCAAAACTGGCACAACCCACCTAGGGCTAGATATTTTCTCATCCAAAATGGCTAATTTTTCATGAGGAAAGTCAGGCTCTCGGCAGGTGCAATTTGTATCGCTACAGGTGTGTGACGAAACTCCTTCATTATCAGTAACACTTTGTGGCTCCATTTGTAAACCGGATGGTTGAACCTAAATAATTTTGTTATTCATTTGTTAAAGATAGCAAAAGAAGGATGTATACAAACATTACAAGTTCTTGTGAAAAAAAAATACCGTACCTATGAAATCAAAGCTCTTATCTTAGCATAGATTAACTAGTTTTATCCCACATTATTCTTTCTGAATTAAAAAAAAATCAAAGCAGAATAATCATTAAGTTTGAGGTAATAAACATTCAAAGCATACTATAATCACCATATAACAGATAATTATGGAACCTCAATAATTATTGAGGATGTCTTAGAAAATATGGAATGGAAGATGGTTTTGTTATCATTTAACATTTGACAGCTAGTGACAGATGACAGATTGTTACGCTTTTAACAGATAAGAAACACCTTTGATACAGGTCCAGTTTTTAAATAACTTGTAACCATGGAATAGAATGCTTACAGGTACAATGTTGTTTTCACCATCTGGAGGTTCCACTGTTTGGCCTCTAGTTGATATAGTCATTTCTTCCTCCACTCTGCCTTATATAGCATTCAATGTAAGGGATGTGTTAGACTTTCCTTTATTATAATCTTGATAAAGAATGATGCCAAAGGAAGGCAACCAAGAAAGTACATTTCATCAAAAGACCTGCAACATCAAATGGAAGATGTCTGGTACTAAGATAAGATGGTATAGCAATCTAAATTTTTTATCTCCAACATAGATTAAACTTAAAGTTGGCTTTTGTAAGCTCTAATTGTATCAGAATGAAATGAAAGGCAGAAATTGGTAGAGATAAACTTTATTTAAGGGTTAGGATAAGCACCCACACACCTTCCTGAGGCACTTACTGTGGCAGTCTTCAAGCTAGGCAGGCTAGTAACTTATAGGTATTTTTGGTTTCTGCAAGGTGGGAATTGATTAATATTTCTTTTTAAATAAAAAATTCACATAATTTAAAGAAACTACAAAATGGCGACTATGATGAGTAACTATAGTTAAGTTATCTAGCTATTCTAATTAACATTCACTATCCATTTCTTTAAAAACACAAATAAGCTAGAATTTCGAACACCACGCTTGACAACAATTTAATTTACAGAATCAATGTCACAAATCGAATCGATACGATATTTAACTTATTTTGACGTTATTTGGACATTGTGTAAACAGTCAAAATTCGCCAAAATACTTGCCGGTGTTTATTGCTATCTACAATGTACACAGGTTTGAAGTTATTATTTATTTAAAACAATATTTAGAATACATTTTACAACAGAACATACACAGCGCAAATTAAAAATAGTGGTATTCAGTATAATCTACAAACTTTAGAAGATTACATGGTATTAATCGCTTCCTTAGATCAGCTGGAAAAACCTGTATATAGTTTTATCATTGCCACACAATACCTAGACATTTAGACTCATATAACTATAATAAATTATTTTGTACGAATAAAACTAAGCTTAAATATATTTCATTCATTTAATTATTTTTTAATCCAAATTATTAAACTTGTTTTCTTATCGGGTGGCAGTACTTACAACATATGTAGTTGTCAGTTGTTTTCATTGACAGCTCTGGATTGTTGGGACTTTTGAATTGCTTCGAGTTGTAATTTTATATTTATAACATTCTTTCGTACTCAATATCCTTAGTTGTTCCATTAATCCATGAGCTGATTGCCTCTGTTTATATTTTTGTAGTTTCTAGTTGTTTTTGTATCTGATGTATCATATTTTACTTTTTCTTAATTTGTTGATTTGTGGTAACATTTTTCAATTATGCTTTCCATATTAATTAGCGACTGCAACCACACTATGTACTACAAGTTTAATGAAAAAGTAAGGTTCCAATTAATAAATGATATCAATTTCATCATTTTACCTTCAACTAATATTCTTATACCAAGCTCTGCTCAAAATATCATGAAAAAGAATTCTTTTTCAATTGTTCCTTTATTTTAAGAACTGCTTACATTGTTGTTTTTTCTTTCACCCTTGCTTTGCTATCACCAGATCATAAAACATCCTCATTTAGGTCCTTAAAATTTCAATTTATCATAATTATTCGATGATACTATTGAATTCTGTAAGAAATGATATTTTCATATTATTGTGTTATCAATTTTATGTATATGTATTTTTTAATGAACAGAATAGTAATTGTTAAATGTAGGAATAAACAATCTTTACCTGATATGCAGTTTAACATTCGTCATTTTATTTTGGAGATATATTTATTCAAGTTCTTGAATGAATTTTGAGATTTCATAATGTGCCTGTATTATTCTTTAAGTGTATTTAGCATTCTGATTTGAGGTTAATTGTGGCATGCTTAAGTTTTTCATTTTAATTTAGTTCTTGTTTTATAAATTTCTTTGTTTAAATTAGAAAGGGATTTAGTTTTATTCATCATATATTTTTAATGAATTATTCTCACATTTTAGAATATTTTTTCTTATTAATTTTCATCATTATTGAAAAGAAGTTAGGTATATTTATCAGCTGATGCCCATTTATCCATCTATAAGTTATCAACAAAATGCTTAAGAAAGTCAGCTACAAATTTAGGTCATATGTTTTCTTATAAATATTTTTGGAAACTGAAGTGCTAATAGTAGTCTAAATAAACTGCTTTAATTGCTTTACTCACTAGATTATTATGTTTTATTGTATTAATCTTTCCCTTATCCTAGCTTTTTAAGTACTGGGTACAGATGCATTATGAGTGTTTTTTATTTTAAAAAGTTGAAAATTAATTGGTTTCATAACAGAGTAAGACTATGTCTTATGTTTATAATTCTAAACATTCGTTTAAAATTCTTAATTACTAATTTTAATGGTGGAGGTATTGTTGGCTTTAGACGGTGTTATATTAGAAGTTGGTATGTATCAAACATGTCAAAATTCGTTCTGTTGGTCCTCCACTAAATAAATTTCAACCTAAACAGATTCAAACCGACACCACTGAACTTGAAAATGTTAAAGCGGGCAAAGCAACATCCTCGCCCATCATGGCCTTTCTATCCAGTCTATATAATGATTTACAACCTAAATTATTAGAAATATAAAGCAATCTAATAATAGATAATAAATGTTTACTTCTTCAAGATCCTGTAGTTATTGGATGTTTGGATCCGTTTTTGTTGTAATATACTTTAAACAAGAAACATTTAGCAGCTTATCTTAATATCTACTAATTTCTTTTGGAAATAACAATCCTTTTATATTAATACAAAGTATAAATTGTCATGAGTGATTTATTTCACTTTACCGAACACTAAGAATTGAATGGTATCACTTTTTATTATTTTTTCATATATGTATATATTTAATTGATGACCAAACATATTTTATTTGTATTACAGTAAATATATTATATAAATAAATGTACAATTGTTTTAAAGTAAGTCTTTATTAAATTGTCTTGTATCGGTTTTACCAAAATATAAATATTTTATGATTGTAATTGTGTAATTAAAACCAAATGATAAATTATTTAATTAACTATTAATCTTTTACTATATCAGCAGAACCTTGTTTAATGGTCATATTTTTATCCCTATTCTTCTGTTATGTACATTGAACCAAAAATCATGCTTATAGTGAAATCAACAAAAACTTTATTGATTCCTATCACTGTAGGTAAAGAATTTCTTAATTTATTTCAACAATTTTTCAGATGTTTAAGCTGTTTTGGGAAGAATTTTTTGTTCAAAGCACTTAGAGTTTGTCTGTGTATTGGGTTTAATACCCTTATATTCATGAACTAGGGCAGGTTATCTTCATGAAGCTTTTTAAGCTACAGAAATTTGATATCAACTCTGTAGGTCTATTATCAAATAAAAGTTAACCCTCCTAATCTGGAATTAATCCTCTGCTGAACAATTTTGAGAAGCTATGACCTCTCTTTATTTTAAAAAATAGTGTCTGAAAGCCTAAGTTAGGTTTTAAATACAATGCATTTGATTAAAGAAACATTTGAGATTCTAAAAATTTGAAATTATAATCTTCTTACAAGAAAAAAAATAAAAGTTTTTTTGTTTATTTATTTCCATTGTTTTTAACTATTAAGGTGTGTAATAGCTAATTAAATTAATGAGTAGAGAATTACAATTTATTTTAATGCTGCTCAACTTGATACACTTAGTATATAAAAATGTCATTTGTTGTTTCCTTTCTTTTTTCATCCTCATTCTTCTCAATTCTGTCACCCAGATCTATAAAGCAATGACCTAATTCAATAGAGGTGATGGTATAAGATTCCAAGCGAGTCCAAAATAATGGACTCTGCCATACTCTGTATCTAATTTCTTTCAACACCTAGCCTTTTAAAAAAAGTAGTAGTTGAAAGATGAATTTTCCCTTCTACTTCAAACCAAATTCTTCATACCTAAAAATTTCTCTCCCCGATTTTCCTTTCTATATTTGTCTTTCATATATATAATGCATTTTGTATATATTTCCTCCTCCTTAATTTGTGTTTTAAGATATATTAATTAATTTAAAAAAATATTATGTTATTGTATTGTCTATTCTATAATACTTTGCTTAACGTAAAAATTGTTATACTCATCTTCTGAGCAATATTATTGTTTGTTTTTTTTCATACACAGTACATCCTCAAGGAAAAGCAAGAAAAAAAGTTAGGATAAAAAGTAATTTCATCTTTAAAAAACTACAAAACCATAACATTTATATAAAATTCTACATTATTCCTGAAATGTAACTGAATTCTTTAAAAAATAAATAAGTAAAGATTAATAAAAATTAAAATCGGACTAGAATAGAGTGTAGATAGCTAAAATAACTAGATTATTTTGAAATGTAATGAAAATATATTTTATTATTCTGGAAATGCTGTCCCTTTAGAACAAAGTATAAGTACAGAATGCATGTCTGTGTGGACATAAATAAATTAAATATTTACAATAATATTTTTATATATTATTTGTAAATAATATAATATAATAAATATATTTTGTAATCAGCCGGATTGAGAAAAGAGTAGGTTTTTAAAGAGAAGAGGTATGAAAGAGGAAACTGATTGTGCCTATCGAATATCAGCAGGGATGAAATTCCAGAGGGAGGCTGCTTGAATTGCAAAGGATTTGTCAAACGCAACAGTTCTGTGAGGAGGAGGAGGAGGATAGAGGTGGGAAGTACGAGATCTAGTCGGACATGATTGGATGGAGTATTTAAATTGTAAGCTGTGAAAAATATAGTAGGGTCGATGTGTTCTAATGATCTGGTACAGAAAGGTAGCTAGGAAGTACCGACAGCGATAGGATGGATAGAGCCACTTCAACTCAGGGTAATATGCATATCTCTTGAGATTCCGAAAACAAAATGTAATGCGCATTTCTTTAGGCGTTTAAGTTAGGCCCCAAAATCTCCCGAGAGTCCTCCGTACACCATACAGCCATAGTCGAAGTGGGGGAAAACAAGGGAGGAAACTAGGAATTGACGAGACTTATATAGAAGGAGATAACGTAGACAACTGAACTGTTTTAGAGTGGAGATAGGGTGGCAGGAAATTGGGGAGATGTGTGGTTTCCAGCAAAGAGTTTGATCAAAAGTAACACCTAGGTTTTTAACGGTATTATGGAATAAGATAGGTTGAGTTGTTCAGGAGAAGATTGGGGGTTACCAGGAAGGATTTGAGGAGTGTGGAGGATCCGATCAAGATGGCTTTTGTCTTCTCGGTGTTCAGAGTGAGCCTGTTGAGGTTTGCCTAAGCCCTTATTCTATTAATATTTCCTTGGAGTTTCAGAATGGCATCTGGGGAATCGGTTGGATTGAAGGAGAGATAAATTTGAATGTTGTCGGCATACAGGTGGTATTGACAGTGCAGGATAGAGGATGGAAGGTCATTTATATAGATGGAAAAAATTCCGCCTAGAAGAAGTTAAGGATTTTAAATACCTGGGCGCTCACCTTAACGAGTTCGGATGGATGGATGGAGAAATTAAAGAGAGAATTAAGACGGCAGGAAGATGCTTTTACTCCCTCAAGTCAGGCTTCTTGGACAAAAAGGAAATCTCAAAGACCACTAAGAAAATTGTCTTTAAGAACACTTTCCTCCCTATATTGACATATGCAAGCGAGTCTTGGACACTCACTGCCAAGCACAAAAGCCAAATCCAAGCTATGGAAATGCGCTATCTAAGGAAAATAGAGGGGAAAACAAGAAGAGATCGCGTAAGGAACGTGACCATACGAGGTAATCTGGACCTGAGGCCTGCAGAGGAGATAATCCAAGAAAACCAACTTAGGAGGTTTGGACATATCTCACGAATGGCTGAAAACAGAATTGCCAGGGCTACCTACGAGGTCAAAGTGGAGGGAAGGAGACCACAGGGAAGACCAAGAAAAAGATGGGAAGAAGGAGTTAAAGAAGCCTTTGACAGGAGAGGAATGGACTGGAGTAGGAGAAGACAGCTGGCACAGGATAGAGATTCGTGGATCAGGCTCTATAAGAAGGAACCTCACACTGCTCAGCGGTAACAGAGGACTGGATTAAGTTTAAGTTTAAGGAAAAAAAGGTAGGGGATAAGGTGTCTTATGGGATGCCTCTGGACAAGGGTAGAGATTCTGATAGTAGGCTATTAAGGATTGCAACATACTGGGAGCGAATTTTATGTTGCAATAAAACAAAAAGTAGTAAAGATATCTTTTTATTTTTTTTTTATACACAAAAGGTACTCATTTAAAGTTATGGTTTACATTGTTTTTTAAGCCATACCGGGTAAATGATACCTCCATTGTAGCTACACTGGTAGAATCGAATTCTGCTGTTTGTTGTTACTCTCTCCAGTAAATTGGCGTGTATGTCACCCAATCACCCAATGTCCTAAATGTTTCTTTTCAGGTCTTCCAGGGTCTTTAGGTGCTTGGTGTAGACATGAGATCTCGAATACTCCACAGAAAGAAGTATTAAGAGACGAATAGGGTGAAAGGCTCCAAATTGCGCCTCAGTGAGATTAGACGGCCTGAGAAGTTATTTCATAATAAATCGTTTCATAAAAAAAGCCATCGACACTCTTGAAATTGGGCTGTTTTCCCATCATTCTGCTGGAATCATGTGTCATATATTTCTATTTCATCAAATCATGACAAGAAAACTTCTCTAGTGTGTTCACATAATGGTCTGAAGTGACTGAGATAGTCAGCTAATTTTCCTTGAATAACCATGGGCCCGTAATCCCAACTGATGAAATTATGTACCAAACGATGACATGTTGTAAGTGCATAGGCCACGTATAGAGTTCTTGGGGATTGTTATTCCTATTAATTTCTACATATTTTGTTTATTGACATATCCAGTCAAGTGAAAGTGAGCCTCACCTCTGAAAGTCACTAGCACATCTTAAGGGACCTATTCAAGAAGTGCTATACATGCATTTCTTTGAGCATTTAAGTAGCGTTCAGATAGTTCTTACATAATAGCCAATTTTTATGGATGGAAATCAAGTTCAACCCAAGTTCAGGCGCATATTTGCTTACCTAGCGATGCAGGGATCATGAAAATGACACCCTTACTGTCTCAATGTTCTGAGGTGATCTGATAGGACTCCTCTATCGAACAAGACCATACCAAACTGTCTGGGGCTATTCTAAGCTTTAGGGCACTCATTTCTAAAAAAAAGTTAGCTTCCTGCACTGTGTATTAAAACAAATATGGCATATAGGACTCTGTATTAATGTTGTTGTTTTTTAAAAGAATTGTTCACATGAAAGCTCATTAACTTTTTTCTAGCCTTTTAAATAACTTGAAAATATTAATATTCCAGAACATCCAGAGGCTTATTTAAAATATTATTAAATTTCAACAATTTAAATGTTCACAAAGCCAAACTTGTATTAGCAAAGAATTTTTAAGTTGGACTTATATTCTGAACTACTAGGATAGTCGAAGTGAACTTATCAGATTTTATTCTTAGGTTTATTGTTTCAGGGTTAAACACATGGATGAAGCATTGCCTGAATTTTTTATGAAGTCATTATTGTATCTGAAAATAGATATAATTTTTTGAAAACATTACATCATGTAATTGAAAAAAGGTATGTCATTAGATTCGATTTCATTCATTTATTAATATTATACTATCATATTAAAACTGTTTTTAATTTTTTAATACTTGCGTTATTTCTACTTATGTTGAAAATATTAGAAAAATAATCCATCCTTTTTCTTCGGCAGAAGACTGATAATGACCATGGAAAAAGACTGACATTTAAACAAAAAAGGAAGAGAAGAAGAAAGGGATGCTAAACATCTGTGATTATAAAGTAGAGACTGTAAAAAATAATGAGAATTGTTTCTCAGAAATCATTAATTATGAAAACAATGTTGAAATAGACTGTAATACTTACAATTTATCTCATAAGTCTGAATTAAATAATACTCAAAATCTACAAGAAACAATGTTATTTCCTACTGAATATATGAGTCCAGAAGACTGCGCTAATGTAATTCCTAAGGAGCAAAATTGTATTTCATTGAAGTGGAAAGGAAAAAAATATTTTCCCCATTTTAAAACAAAAGTAGTCTCTTATGCTTTGAAACATTCTATTAAAAAGGCAGCTTTAGACTTTAAAGTTAACAAAGGAACGATATCTGGTTGGATTCATGAATCTCAGCACAGTACTAGAGGACCTAACATCAATGAAATTGATTTGGATTATGTGAGTGGATTATATGCACTTTTTTTGTAGCTCTTGAGGTTTGCTATCACTCCTATAAAAATTTCCCTCTACTTACAGGACACTCTGTTTATATACATATTATTATTATTATTATTTTGGCTTTACAAAACTTGAAATCTTAAGGTATGTTTAGACATCTCACTAACTATGGAAGAAACAAATATATAAACGGTTATTTCAATATGCTAGCATTCAATATCCATTCTTTCTTGTTTTTTTATATTTTTTTGTCTGCTGTCGATATCAAGAGAAATGAAATAAATATTTTGCTTTAGCAATTATGTCACTGTTAGTTGAGTTAGATAATTGTGTTACCCATAGTTTATTAAATGTCTAAATGCACCTGTTGACCGAATCGGCCTTCTTTGCCTTTGCTTATCTTGGGCTACTGCTTTTCTGTTTGCTTCATGCAGCTCTGCAGCATCTCAATTTATTCAGTTTTATATGTCTTGTTTTTGGCATCTCATGTCTCTTTCTTGCTAAATTTTGAGGCATTCGTTGTTTTGCATAGGCTTCCTGGTGGGTTGCTTCAAGCTAAATTTAACTTCCTTGCCATTATATCATGAGATATAAACTGACTAGTTTCTGTTAGCAATTCTTTATAACTCTTTCTTTTTACTTATTGGTAATTTGGTTCATTCCAGTTATCGTGTCCAGGACTTTTCTCTCAATTTTTTTAGTTCTTCTTTCTAGGGTGCTGGTTAGAATCCAAGTCTCACCGCATCATTTAAAAAAAAAAAAAGTCACTTATTATTTTCAACAAAAAATTAAATTTTAAAGGGGATGTTTTATATTTTTGTTTCATCAAGGAAAGTGTTTTATGTGGAATTGATCTTTTTGGATTTTAAATAACCACTATTAAAGTGTTTTTACATATTACTCAATTATATGTTATGGATTTCTATATTGATTTTTAATTTGTTAATGTAATTAGCAATAATAATACACATCTAAATACAAACAATAAGTAGATTTAAAATTATATACGCTCTACACTTTCATTATTTCTTATGATTTATGTTTTTTTTTATTTCTTAAAACAATTGGAAATAATGTATAGGATAAAAAGTTTATATACCTACACACGTAGATATCTCTAATCATTGCCATGACAATTTCATATCAATAGAAGAATGTTCACTTCACAAAGTTGAATACCTAAATTTTTAATACTTGTATTTATTGTAATTTTTTTTTTGTATTTTGGTATATATGGTTTTTAATGAGTTCTTTAGGATTATTTTTGAAAAATGTTTAGTTTCAGTAAAGTTGGGTGCTTTCTTATTTGTTTTGATATTTTATCCTGTAGACGTTAAATAGAGTTTAAATCCAGACTACATTAATAGCATTGTAAAATGGGATGAATTGTTGCCTTGATGATATACTGGAAATGATTGGCTACCTTTTTTTTATCTATCAGTTTATAAAAAAATAGAATAAAAAATAATATTGTAACTGAATTTAAGAACATTAATAAAAATTTAACTTTTAGGATAAATTATAAAAATAGAAGTTGAAATTCTTGAGTGTTCATGATTATGATATACTTAAACATATTTATATACTTTCACTCAAAATTTGATCACTACAGTTTATTTACTTTGTCATATATATTTTAGTCTGGTCCTGATGAACAGTTTATTAAGTGGTTGAGAAGTTTTAAGAAAACTGATGCCCTTCACAGGCAAGATGTTGTTGATAAAGTGCAAGATATTATCCATTCTTTTGAAAAGCAAGAACCAAATAAAAAAAGTTTATGGTTCTTTCTTTATGCAAAAAGGTAAGTGTTTATGTATATATATTTTTTTCTTATTGGAACTCATCAATAATGTATTTTCGTTCTACGATTCAGGCTAACCAACGAGTCATCTCTTGATAAGATCAAAATAAAATATCCTCTTGCATTCAAGAAAGAAGTTGTTGACTGCACTAACTACATATCAAAGAAAATGACCAGCAAAATTTTTAACATAGATCGTAAAAGAATATGTGAATGGGTTAGTGATTCCTTGAATGGTAAGAAAAATAATTTTTTTTTTTAATTACTAAACTCATTTAATATGCATTTTAATTCCAAACCATGAAATTTATAGGTATTGCAAAGGAAAGAGATGTTTTTAAATATGTAACTGATCCGAAAGTGGATAAAATGATATGGGATTGGTATTGCCTTCAACAAAAGAAGCCATCAAGTAAAGAAGTAAATCATATGCTATTTATTTCCTACATTTAGTAATCATAAATATCTTTTAAATACCCCAATCAATAAACAAATATGAATCTTTTTTTTGTTAATTAACAAATCAACTCACTTTATTTATCTAATGAATGAAAATATCTTCAAGGCTCATCTATACCTTCTGATGTGATTCTGAAGTTAAATCTAGTGTAAAAATAAAAAATTTCCATTAATCTAACAAAAACGTTGGATCCAATTCCCATCCGATTAGCTTTCTTATCACAAATCCCTTCCAGTTTCCTACTTAGTATAATTTATCTTCAGTTTTGATACTCCACTATTGACCAGGATTTTAATTATTTGGAAATAGTTAATTAATTTTCCCTTACTTCAATATACTTGTTTATACACATGATAGCTTTTCAGGTTTCGGGCACTAAATAATATTAAGATTTTCAATGAAAAGCTTTACCATTCTAACTCTACAAATAATTCTACATTCATTTACTTAAAAAATCAGAAATTGTTACTTTAATAGTATTGATTGGTTACATTTCTTTCTTCTTGGTCTAGCCACTTTTTTATCTGATATCTTCTTTCTGTTGAAGCTTATGCAGGATCAACACTGTAAATGCTTAGTTCACAGCTTTTTTTATTGTTAGTTTAACTGATCACATTTGGTGCTCAAGCATAGTTTTAAAAAAAACGTTTTTACATGAAATGTTGAGGATCTGCTAATATATATATTTATTTTTTGTTGTATTTAGATGTTGTGGAAAAAGCTCAGAATTTTTTCTGAAAACTCACTTATACATTTCCTTAATTTAAACATTTTAGAAATATGTCTAGTAACAAGCAATTATTTTTTTAATATTCATTTATTTCATTTGATCCATATTTTCTTTAATATTTTCAACCTAGCCATGATTGTTTGTATGGTAATTGATTGTTTTAAATGAATATGTTATACCGGCTGTAATTTTTATTTTCATTTCCCTACTTATGAAAATACCTATTTCTACTTAACATAAAGTGGTAAGCGAAAGTTTTGTTATTCGCACATTGCTTTAAGTGGCTTTTCCCCTCTATCTGCCTTTTTTTTCTTTTTTATTTTTCTGTCCTCCCCTTCCAAGCCTTTAAGGCTATACGAGGGTTTTCCCGGGCCAGGGAGTGTGGGCGAGGATTTAAAAACTCCTCCGGGCACCAGGACGCGAACTCGTGACTATTTTTTTAATCAAATCTCATGTATCAGGTTGCCAGGCAACGATGGTGCAGTGCACACGCGTTAGCCCATTTGGCCACCCCGCCCACCCCTCTATCTGCCTACAACATTTCCTTGTATATTAACAAACGATCAACTCCCACCACTCTTCTTCCATCAGCAGTCTCTTACAGTTCAAATCCTTTTTCCATCCACAGAAAATGAGATTCCATGTTTCAGACCTTTATACCTCTTCCCATAGAACTAAAACCTTTGAATGTTCTTTTTTTGCTCACTTCACTGCCTTCTGGAATTTTCTGTCATCTAATGTCTGCCATGCCTCTAATCTATTTTCATTGAAATGCCTTCTTTTCCTGTACCTGCCATCCCAAACAAATGCTCTCTTCATGAAACAATCATTCCAGAATATATTTTAATAGAAGTGAATACATACTAAACTAATAGATCTTATAATAGAATTAATTCGTAATTTTTCTGTTACAATTGTATTTATTATCAAGATTTTTTTTGTTTATGTATTATTCTATAATGTACAATTATCTTAAATATGATGAAGTTTTTGGCCAGATATGGTTTTTATTTATTTGTACATGCTTTTTATGCTATCTATATATTATTCTTTTCTTATAGATTCGTTTAAAAGCAGCCATTATGTATCAAGAGGCTGGTTTTTCAAATATGAGATGCAGCCCAGGATGGTATTATCGTTGGAGATTAAGGTACCAGTTGCCTACAGTGAGAGGATCTCAGGCTAGTAGAGATGCAAAGCTTCTTGCCTGGGTATTAACTCAGTTAGATGAAAATAAATCTATTTTTCATTCAGATCTGTTAGAACAAGCTGCCCTGCTTACAGGAGCAACCTTCAAGGTAATTTAATTTCTGTTGTTAAGAAAAAATTAAACAATATGTTATTAGGTTGTATTTTTTTGTACAGAATGATCCAATGAAACCATAAATCCTTTTTTCAAGTTTAAGATTAATATTTATATTTAAAAGAAGCCTTTAATGTAGGAAGACAGAAGAAAAAAAAACCTTTTAAAAAAGCCATTATTTTGTTGATGTAATAAGTACAGGTTTTTCGGATTATCAGAAATGTTAGGCCTTGGAGCTTACAATTTCACATAGATATTCGTAGGAGAAGAGGGAGGTCTAAATTTTTATTGTTATCAAACTTCAGAGAGTCAATGTCCAAGTATGGAACTGGAGATAGCCAGATGTTGGTTGATTGGTGATAATAAACAAAAAATTAATGTGTAACACCAAACAAATATTTAAATAGATACGACAATTATTGAATTTTTGACAATTGGTGCCATATTGCAAAATCAAGTAAACATAAGAAATTCTCTGAGGATAGAAAAATTGCTCCGAAACATCAGATGTAAGAGATGTAATTAAAAAGACTAAAGAAAAATGGAGGATTTCGAGCTAAACTTCATGGTCTGGGCATTGATGTAGATCGTCTATGCACCTGTAGTGTGCATTTGAAACGTTAAGAGCGACTATGACAAGAGCCACAGGAATCTATGTCCTCACTGAAAATGAGTTTCCTCAGTTAGTCAGTTTGGAAAATTTTCCGTGGTTCAAGGATTTCATAAATGGATGGAAGATGGCGGTGGGGCCCACTCACTTCCGTATTGGTGCCCGCAGAAGAAGAGGACAAGTGCCAGGAAGACCTCCAGATTCTGGAAGCTTGGCCAAAACAAGATGAAGAATGAACAGAGCAAATGCTAGATGTGTACACATCCTTGCTCATGTTAACTAGTAGATTCAAGCCTAATAACACACTATTACAAACACCTGTATTACCATAGTGCCATAGGAGGGTGGAATATATAAATAAATAAATATAGGTAAGTGAAAGTAAAAAGGCCCCTATTTATTAATTTTTATTAATTTATTTATTAATTTATTAATTTGTCACATTTCCCATTTTTATATAATCTAAAAAAAATATTATGTAACCTGGTTCAAAGATGATAATCACAAATATAAATATTAGCTTTGAGAATGTGAAATTTTATTACTTCAAAAATAACTAATAAAATTAATTGATGAATATATTTTATTTATCTTGAAACAAATAACTTATTTTTCGCAATTATTATTTTTAATTGTGTACTCATAATACTGTTTTTCTTGATAAAATTATTTGTGTCAACTCTTAAATTTAAAATTTGGAATTAAATTAAATTTATTTATTAATTCAAATGTAACTATGTTTCAGGCCTCATCAAGTTGGGTATTTAGGTTCATAAAGAAATATTTGTCACATTTCAAACCAGGAATTTCTAACATTCCTCTTCCAGAAAGTCTGATTGAAGAAGCAGATAATTTTAAAAAACTTGTTTTAGCTACAATCAATAAGAATGATCCTCAACTTCAAAATATTGTAGCTTTTGACGAAATTCCACTTAACTTCAGTTCATCAGGTGCACATCTATGTGATTTTAAAATTTTATTCTACATTATTTTCCTCATTTCAACTAATTATCAATTAGTATACTATTTCTTTATTTAGAATTTTCCTCAAAAGTAGTGGATTTCTTTATTCTGTGCAAGGCTTCATTTCTCATGCCGATAATGTTACATCAAAGATGCTTTAATTTCATCATTCTCAAATTTATCCATTTTGTCAGGATGAATTTTTGAGACTGTTTTTTAAGTTTTTAACACTTGTTATTTTTCTCTGATTGGAGAGCTGGTGCTAGGGGTAGTTTTTTACTTACAAGGATATGGGATTGATTACTCATTTCAATGAAACTTTTTTCGGTGGTACTAGGTCGAAAAATATTTGACCCATGTCTAAAGGGTTCTGACCAACATCCTCTTGGAGCCGAGAAAAAAATTTATCATATTTTTTATACTAGGCTGTGGTTCGGAAGCAGGAGAAGCATCCCTCTCACTACAAGTAGTTTTTTGCAGAGGGTCGGTGTTCGAAGGGAGCAGATAAAGACCATGATAGAAACTATTATTTTAGGTTCTTTGGGAATCCTCCATCACCACATATATTGATCTTGGCCTTCATTAGTTCGATTGTGTGAATTGTTCTTGTCATGTTTGTTATGTATTCCAATGATCCAACCTAACTCTCTTTTAATATTTTTCAACATTATTGGCTGATTGATGAGTATGCTGTGTGGTTGAGCAGCCATGCAATATTATTATTGTAGTTCTCTCTTCTGGCTTAACTTTACATGGATTTCTAGATTATAATATATCAATTGATTCTCTTTTTTGTGTGTGTGTTAAATAAGAAAAACACATTGCTGATTGTATTAAACAAATTAAAATGTGTAATCAATTTTAATAACTAAAAGAAAAGACACTCCCAGAAAAGTAGGCTACATAAAGCTTTGTTATGGAAAAACAATTCAGATTCATTACTAGCATCCTTTAAAACTGATGAATACAAATTATATAGGTTTTTAAAATAAAACTGGTATGATGGTTGGCTGTAGTGAATAATTGAAGAGAAGTTGTTTGGGGTTCAGTCAAAAATAAACAGATTAAATATAAATAAATGGTATTTAAGGGCTGGACTTACAAGAAGTTCCTGTAATACCTGTTTCGGCCCAAAGTTCAGTCTTTCATCAGGGCTAAGAAAAGGTCTTACTGGAACTTGTCGTGAGTCCAGCCCTGATGAAGGCCTAAACTTTAGGCTGAAATGTAGGAAAATATAAAAATAAATATCATTTATTTATTTTTAATTTGTTTATTTTTGACTGAACACCCCAACCAACTTCTCTTTACAAAAATATTAATTTTTAGACTGGATTTTACGGGAGGATTTTATCATGCAGTTTATTAAAACATTCATAACTCCTCAGGATATTTTCCTAATTCAATGTTATTACAACCCTTGGAAAGCTTAATTATTTTTATTCCAAAGGATATTAATAACTTTCAGCTTTAACATGTAACATTAATAACTTTATGAGGAATAAGTAAATAAAAACTCAAACATTTTTATTTTTTATCTTCAGTTCAATTTTGTTTATAGGGGTCTAGCTCATTTCATTTCATGTAGTTTATAGGACTAAATCCGTATTAATTTTCTTGTGGATAACTGATGTCATATTGAAGTTATTACAATTTTTGTGAAAAAAAAATTAAGCCTAGGCAAAATTTTTTTTTATTTTTCTATTGCTATGAAAATTTTTAATAAAGGGTATTTTGAAGTGAGTAATACAAATCTCAACATTATTTTTCTTTACAAAAATATGGTGTGTTGCGCGCATCACACAACTTTCACTTACCAACCTTCTTTTAACAGCAATAGGTATTTTATAACCAAGGGAATTATAAGTAAAAATTACAGACAGTACAACATATTATTTAAAACAATTAATTATTTTAAGTTTTTTACTGCCTAATGTATTTTATTTTTGCTTTTCTTGTCACTAAACATATCCTTGTATTGTATGTTTTAATTTTAAATGATTAAGTTCTATGAAATATTTTTAGTCTGACAAGAGTGCCACTGTTTTAAGAAGGCTGTTTATTTATTTATATTATTGTAAATATTTGTATTTGTTTAAGCGCGTATTCAAATTTTTTTATTACTATAATCTAAACAGTGATATATTAAATAAAACCAATGCTAGTCAATATAAAATAATATATTTATGAAAACCATAAATGTATGTGTATAATATTATTGTAGCCCTTTATTAGTTATACTGTTATTTGAATTGAGGGGACCTCAGAACATGTATTTCTGTCGAAAACTTGGATTTGAAAATTTATACTATCGCAATACTTTCCCTAACTATATATTTCATATAGAAACAAGTGAAAGTGATAATATTTTAATCCACTTATCTCCTGGAGCTGATAAAAATTGTTGCAATATTGTTCTGTTACTGTAGCTATATACCAATTATAATATTGTTTTTAAAACGTGCTGGGTATCTAAAGTAAGATTACATCCACAAAGCCTGGTATGCTGTCAAGATTCGTTCTGAAAATAAGAATAAATTATGTATTGTACCTATTATACACAATATTCAGATCCAGATCCCATTAAATATATTTTTTAGGGATAAACAAAGTATATCCTCGTTTTTTGCACCATTGAAATCCCTTAAATTAATTAATACCTTTAAGACTTGAATTGAGCACTTTGTTGAGGATTCTGTAAACAGATAATTTTTCATCACATGGTAGAATTATTTTGATAAAATAGTCTTCCAGTGGGCTCTGGAGCAAGTTTTATTATGTTTCTTATCATCCATACGGAAAGTGATCTGTCGAGACAACCTGTGATTTCATTGTATGAATCGCGACTGATTGAGTTTTGTTTTCTTTGTTGTGGGGTTTTAATAATTATCTTTTAATACCTCGACGCACTATTTCTTTCTTTTCCACTTTTATGGAGTTACGGATTTAGAATCATGATTTAGTTTCAGTTCTGATTAGTTGACCATACTTAATAGTAGTTATTAATAGTGTTTTTAATGATTAAAAATTCAGTGACTTACTTATTGGTTGGTCTTCATAAATGAAGTGAGACATTAGTTTTATTTATTGTTATAAATATTATTTAACTTAATTTGTTTACCAATACAATTTTTTTTTTCATATTATATTGTACAATATGAAAACCTTGGAGAGTAATGTCTAAACAAAAAAAACAGTCAATGATTAGATTTCTTTATTCCTGTATATAAATTGTAATCATTATGGTAAAAAATTAAATATATGATGCAACTCAATAAATTAATACTTGTAATGACCCAGATTTTTTTTGTAATTTTTCCAGGAAAACAGAGCAGTCTTATTGGAAAATCTGACTGGGAAAACTGTCAAGCTTCTATTATTGTGTCATGCCTCGCCAGTGGAAGACTGTTACCCACTACTGTGATCCTAAAGGTATTTTAACTAAACTGCTGAACAATCCTTCTGAAATACTATTATCAATATGGAAGTGCAAAATTTATATTCATTGTTTTTTTTAATAGTTTAAATAGGTATTTATAAATGGGGGAGGGGGAAGCTTAGTGAGTAAGGAACTATGTCCTATTCTTCCTGGAATGGATGGTTAGTGTCCAACCGTGACATATAATGATTTATTATCAACCATGTAGGGGGTTCAGGAAACCCCTATGGAGAATACCCAGCTTCTGTAATGTCCTATTAGCCTTATTTGAGCTCGGTGAATTAATGACTCTTGTTAGTAAGGATTTCCCTACTATAACAGCTATAAAAGGATCTAAACTGATTAGTTCTGTCTTAACGTTATAATTAATAGCACCTTATAATAATAGTTGGTAATATTTACTACATATCTGTTATACAGAAGACTGTCTTGGAAAAACTTTATAGTATTAAGGAAAACTACCCTATTTTTTTGTTTTTGAATGGTTACATTAAAGCTGAATGATTTGGAAGGACAGTTCTTGATTTATACCAGCCTTTATGAAACTAGAACAAGCAACTATGTTGAGGTTTATAGACACTGTAAGGGTCTTGTTGAAATGATGGAATTCTTATGCTTGATTTTATACCATGGGCATACTTTTTCAGAAAGACCTCAAAGGTACAGTTTTATTTAAAATAATTTATTTTTAATTATTGCCTGCATTTTGTTCTGGTCAGTGACTATTACTCCAACGTATTTGAATTCTGTTTCCATTGGAAAGAGGTGCTAATTAATTTGAACATATTCATGCTAGACCTGGGCAGAATTTATTTGAAAAATATTTCCGGAATAAATCCCTAAATAAACCTTGATAGTTATTTCCGAAATAATTTATTTCATGAAATAACCAGACCATTATTTCCGAAATGATTATTTCGGGAATAAATTATTTCAGGAATAATGTTATAATTATTTCTGAAATGATTATTTCCCGAAATAATCATTCTGATCGAATTTTCAGATATAATCAATATCAGGGTCGCCTATTATGTTTTCGAGGTAGCTTATTATGAAAATTCAGTCGAATTTGAGATTGCACCCCTCCCTCCCCCTTTCTCCCAATCGACTTTTAGTAACCTTTTGGATTTAATCGATATCAGGATCGAGCAATCTCAAATTCGACCGTATTTTCATATTAAGCTACCCGGGAAACATAATAGTCGACCCTGATATCGATTAAATCCCAAAAGTTGCTGAAAGTCGATTGGGGGGGGGGGAATGGTGGGGCGCAATCTCAAATTCGACCTTATTTTCATAATAAGCTACCCCGAAAACATAATATTAGACCCTGATATCGATTAAATCCGAAAGGTTACTAAAAGTCGATTTGGGGGGGGGGAGGGGATGGTGGGGTTGCGCAATCTCAAATTCGACCATAGTTTTATTATAAGCTACTCCGAAAACATAATAGTCGACCCTGATATCGATTAAATCCAAAAATTTACAATAAGTCGATCTTGTAGGGTGGGGGGGAGGGCGCAATCTGAAATTCGATACTATTTTCATTAAAAGATACCCCGTAAACATGGTGCATATTGGTAAATTTTTTGTTATTTCTGAAATATTCATTTCTTGATTTTTGCAATAATTTATTTATGAAATCAATAAATGAGTTATTTCAGAATAACTCATTTCGAAATAATTTACTTTATTCCAAAGAATGTCAGAATAGTGAAATAATTATTTCAGAAATAAATTCAGCAGTTATTCCATCGAGATTATTTCATTGACAATTTGAAATATTATTTCAGAAATAACCATTATTCCCGAAATAATTCATTCGTGGAATAACCATGTGAATTATTTCAGAAATAAATTATTTCCAGAGTGCCCAGGTCTAATTCATGCATAGCTACATTATTCCTTGAGGACTTCATGTAAAGACTTTTCTCTTCATTTATCCTCAGGCCAAGTTGCATTGCTGTCGCATCGAATTCTTCGATAGATCCCGCAAGGGCCGACAATGTGTGAGCGCTGGTAAGAATATCGTCCGCGTATGCAAGACATTATTACATACAAGGCGGTATTTCCTCTTCGATTGAATATAGTCCCTCCAGGATTGGTCCTTATTGCTCTAACAACCCACTCCAGGGCTAGATTAACAAGGACTGGTGATATAGTGTCTCCCTGCTTCAAGCCCTGTTTTACCTGAATGCTGTTTAAGAGGATGTTTTAAATCTTGACCTTACATTTGGTATCTCTTAGCGTCATTTCTGTCAAGGTAATCAATTTTCAGGAATTCCCAGCATCCTCATAGCTTTCTGTAATTCCTTTCTGTCTATAGAATCATAAGCCTGCTGGAAATCTATAAAAGCATGGTGCAGATCCACGTTATGCTCTTATTTTTTCTGAAACCTCATTGATAGTCTCCGCAAATTCTTTCTCCCCATGACGCTAGTCTCTTACTAATAGCAATGGAAAGAACTTTATATACAGTTGGCAGTAGTGCTATTCCTCTGTAGTTATTGCAGTTCAACTTGTTCCCTTTTTTAAAAATAGGACATAGAACTGCAGTGATCCATTCTTCAGGCTTGGTTTCCTCCATCGAAATCCTATATATGAGGTCGTAGAGCTGCTTAGTTAATTCTTCTTCTCCATTCTTTAGTAGCTCTGCTGGTATTTCATTCACACCCGGTGATTTGTTGTTTTTCAAAGACTTAATTATTTCCTATATTTCTTCTTTATCCGGCGGTATTTCCTCTTCCTCACACATGTTTTCTCTATTTCTATGCATTTCCTCTTCATTACTCAGTTCTATGTTTCCATGATTTAATAATTCGGAAAAGTATTCCGTCAATCTATTTAATATGTCTTTTCTCGATCGCAGCAAGTTTCCTTTTTTATCTTTACAATAGTCTAGATGCGGTTTGAAACCGGTCCTTGCATTTCTTACTCCTTTGTAAAATTTCCTAGTTTCTTTTGCCGCATACTGCTCTTGCATATCTTTTATGATTTTGCTTTCCCAAGCCCTCTTTTTCTTTCGACAAATTTCTTTGACTCTTTTTCTTTGTATTATATAATTTTCCGTTGTCGCTCTAGTTGTCCTCTTCAAATATTTGGCTCTCGCATCATTCCTCTCTCCAATTGCTTGTAAACATTCTTCATCAAATCATTCGTTTCTTTCTTTCCTCTGTTTATATCATAGCACTTCCACAGCAATCTCATTCAACACCGTCCTTATTCTCCGCCATCGCTCTTCAACTGTATGCTCTTCTACATTGCTTTCATTTAATCTTTGAGTGACCTTTGTTTCAAATGCCTCTTTCATTCTCTCGTTCTTTAGGCCATCCACGTTCAACACTCTCCAGGTCTCTCCTCTGTTTTGCACTCGTTAGATATCCTCTGTTTGTATTTATTTCCGTCAGTCCGCCCCTCTAATCCTAATAAATGGTTCAATTAGGAATGATAAAATAAAAGAATAATCCAGAAAGGCTAGTATTCTCATATAAACAACAAAGGTATGATTTTGTATGCTGTAAACTAAAAAAGATCTCCCTACAAGTATCTATGACACAAGTGTGTTTAATAATTATATTTAAGCTCGAAATAGCTATAGGACTATTACGATACAAAAACCTTGTGTAACAAGAAAAAGAATACAAGTTGACTATACCTATAATATAATAACGATCAGTTGTTATATTACTAGTAACGAGGGCGGGGTGGCCGAATGGGCTAACGCATGTGCACTGCACCGCAGTTGCCCGGCAACCGGATATATGATTCTATGATATGAAAATAGTCACGAGTTCGCGTCCCGGTGCCAGAGGGGATTTTAAATTCCCCGCCCTCACCCTCTGGTCCGGGAAAATCCCGTATAGCCTAAAAGGCGAGGTAGGGAAGAACAGGAAAAAAAAAATAAATAAAATAAATAAATATATATATATATTACAAGTAACAAATAAATCACTTTTGATCTATATTCCTATCAAAAATGAGGGTAAAATATGATATTATAGCTCTCTTATGCTTTTTGTTTTGTTTTTTAGACCCCGACTGAATCTAACATTTCTTGTAGCTCTAATGTAGAACCAATTTTAATCCAAGCCAATGGAATTAATGATATTTCTACAATGGAAAAATGGTTAGAAGTTGTACTCAGGTAATTTCATCATATGCTCAGTAATCAGTTTTATTTTTTAGTTATTATCTGTTGAATTAATGTTTTAATTTTGTAGATGTTTGACTACTCCTGCTATGATTATTGGTGATATTTATGATCCTCATGTTCATATAAAAAACACCTGTGTAAACGAATTTCTTAAAAAAAATATCAGTTATATGTTAATCCCAGGTGGTTGCACATCCCAATTACAGCCTCTTTGCTTTGGCATTTTACAAAGATTTAAGGTATATTTTTTGTATCATTAATCTAGTGTTTGTAATTTAATTTATTATAATGAAGGCATTTTATATTAGCAGCAGATTTAGTTTGTCATACTAATATCTTAAATAAAATATTATTAAGGAATAATGAATATTAAATAACTCCATGTATGTTATAAACCAATAAATATCTTGCCTAGAGCTATATAGTGTATGCATTTATCTTATCAGTTTTTATTCATTTTAGTATTAATTATGTTAAAACTGGAATTTCCAAACACAAAGCCTTGAGTCTCTATAGAAAAAAAATAAAAAAGAGAAAAAACCTGTACCACTACAACCCATGAGGGGGTCTTGGGTTCAGTGGTATTTAGGAAAAGCAGTTTCTTGGTCTACGGTTGTGCAAGGAGATGATTTGACCACCAGGTTTTTCCCCTTAATTAATTATTTTAATTAAGGCTACCCACTTTATAGAGGCTGGGTGTGCCCTAGGAGGGTCTATCTACCCAGGATCGCCTGAGCCAAGGAAACAGAATAAATAATTTTTCTGCCATGAACCGGGATTCGAACCTGGGATCTTTTAGCATTGGAAGCCCACTCTCTAAGTCTCTATAGTGCTAGTAAAAAATTACATTTTCATTATTCACTAGTTAACATTTTTTCAATTCAGATATCTTTAGGACAGGAATAAAAAACATGTAACCTATGTGTAATCGAATATAACACTTTTTACATCAAGAGTTTACAAAATGCATATCAGTTAGGTACAGTACACCACTCCAAGGCATCCAAACACATTCCCTAGATTGGGTAATGTCCCTTTCCGTTCAAATTATTTTTTGATGTCTTACAGTAATGTTCTTCCTGTTATAAAATAGCATCTTTTATGGAATGGTTATGTGATATGTTTTTTATTTTTATTTGGTCAGTGCGTAGATGATTTTTTTTTTTCTTTCTGTCCCTTATGGTTCCAGAATAAAGGGTTTGTATTTGGAATCTCCACATTACATTTTAACAATTAATTAATATTCTTTTTGAGTGTTTGTTCTTTAATATTGAAATTCTATTTATTTTGTCACCCTGTAGGTCGGACTATACTATGTATTTTATAACTATTTACTTCTCTAGATACTCTTTTAAAAATATATGAGACTGAAATGTCCTCGTAATAAAAACAGAAATTCAGATTCGAAATATGAATAAATAAATACCTGGTGTAGTTATTTACGTTCCCTACTTCTTTGGGTGAAAGTCCAAAATCAAAATTATTTTCTTTGTAAGGTAGTACTATACTTATTTTTGAATGAAACAAAATTTTCAGGACTTTCAGTCAAGGTATTTTTATTCGGTTAGCCCAACACTTATTTTTTAATTGATTCAGAACTTAACATTTATCTATTTCATAAAATAGTCCTTTCATCTATGTGGCGGATTAATTGAAGTTTTTAAATTTACAGGATGAAATCGAAAATCAGTGGGCCAGATGGTGCCATGAAATGTCAATTTCAAGAAATTCCAAATTAAGACATCCAAAGAGTGACAATATAGTTGATTGGGTTCAAAATGCACATTTAATAATTGCAAACTCTTGCAAAGTAAGTTATTTATAGTATTATTTATTATTGTTCAGAAGTAGATTGTTGTTAAATTTTTCCTACATATCAACTTTTTATTTTACAAAAAATAAAATCTGTAAACTACAGTTATAATTATAATTTTAAATTAGTTCTATGATAAATACTTATTAGGTTATAGTTGGAAAATTCCAACCACACAGCTTTATATCTTCAAAATGTAGGCAAAGAAAAAAATAAGAAAAACTGTTTAGGAGACACACAGACGGCTATGTAATTGCATTTTTCTTATTATAACCTAACGTTTATGTACTGTTCCATCGTGAGTTTTTTACTGATTTATATTAATTAATAGTTTTATTAGATTTATCATTTTTACATGAATTTGACTAAATTTAATGTTCCAGTATAGCAATTCATAAAGAATAGTTTTGAAGAGGAAATAAAAAATAAATAAATATTTATTAATATTACATTCTAAAACAAAGTTCTTAATCTCTCAAATACTTGTGAATAGTGTTTCTGTAAACAGTTTCCTAATTCAGGTATCATCCTGAAAGAAAAAGGCATAATCAAATAATTGCAGACCAGAAATAATACATCTCACTTAGCTAAAAATAATTTTTTTTTAAATGGGCTCAGTTTTTTTTTTTGTCATTTTGGAAAATATTGAACATGTTCTTAAAGCTGTTAAAAGTAATGTAAAACTTGAATGCAAATTTTCTAGAAATCATGGGGATAATTACAAGGTTAAGCGAACAATTACCTTATTCTTTATATCATTGAGGATCTAGTTTATTGTGTACTCATTTAACAAAAGCATATTTGGCCTTGTGGAGGGGTAGGGTGGCCGAGGAGGCTAACACGTTTGTAAAATATACCTTGCCTGGCAACTTGATGAACTGAAGATTATGAGTTCGAATCCTGGTGCCCGGGATTCTGGCATTATTCTCCCAGCATCTCCTTGGCCCAGGAAAAACCCTGTTTAGCCACAAAAAGACAAGGAAGGGAGGAAAAAAGAAGATATTAGGCTTTGTTTTTCTCCTGTACCATCTCACCAAATCCATAAATCATCAATGTAATGGAATATTTAAAGGTTATTTTTATTATTTATAAAAGTATATATATATATTCAATCCCTCTACTCATATACCAATATTTGAAAATTATAAGTAAATTTTTTTTTTTTTTGTTACAATAAATTAGGCCATTGTTCACCAACATTTTTTTTATTACGCATCAATTTAACATTTCGACCATACTAAGGGTCATTTTCAAAACTTGTTGAGTCCTCCTAATATGTTCATCCTTAATGTTCTAATTAATAAGTTCAGTGAACATTAACTTGTCAATTTTTATAGGGGCTTCGCCCTCGTCATTTCTGGAGGGACTGACTTCAGTCCCTCAAGAATAATAAGTTCACTGAACTTATTAATTAGAACATTAAGGATGAACATATTAGGAGGACTCATCAAGTTTTGAAAATGACCCTTAGTATGGTCGAAACGTTAAATTGATGCGTAATAAAAAAATGTTGGTGAACAATGGCCTAATTTATTGTAACAAATAAAAAAAACTTCAGGACACCAAAAGTAGGAAAAATGGACAGAAGAATTATAATTAAAATTTAATATATATCTCCTTATGACTTTAGTACAGGCTTTTTACTTAGTATTTAATCTTGAAGAGGCACTTATGAGGAATCTTCATCCTATAATGACATTTATTACAAAAGATCTATGACTCTTTATTTCATGTTTAAAAAAAAAAATTATTTGGCTATAACCAGACCTGCCTGTTTTATACCATTTTCAGCTTTTGGAAGAATCCTCATATCATTTCTCGGATATGAATCCTTACCTTTATTGCTTCTTACCATAACATAAATACATATATTTACGATGATCTTATTCTGAATATATTTTTTATCTTATCCTTTTTTTTTTGTTAAAAGAATATTAATAAATTATCATTATTCATAATAATGATTATGTTATAAATTATACTCATTTTATATAAGTTGTATACTAAATGATATATTTAACCTATCCTATCTTTAATTTGTTTATGCTGTATTCCAGGATCAAATCAAGGATTCTTTTATTAAGGCTGGTATTATTGTATAATTTTAAAATAAAGAAGTACAAAATAGAGGTAGAAGACTCATATAAAGAGCAGAAGACTTCATCAGAAATATAATTTTTTTTCTAATTATTTACAATGCTTATATTATGTATTTAATAATTTTATTTATTTTATAATGGATAGACTGTCTTTTTAAATTGTTAATAAAAACTGTTACCCTTCAAAATGAAAATAATCAATAATTTGACAACATATTTAAACAGAGCAAATGATAGATAAATAGATTAAATAAGGAAGTATGTTGGTTAGACTCCTTACTGACATTTACTAAATTTAACTGTTATTATATTGAATTGTTGATATACTAAATATATATGTGATGCTTTAAATATTTTTAGATGAATATGGTGCTATGCATCGGAATCTTCTAGATGTTATAAGATAAAACGTGTGAGACTGTTTGAAGGGTAATCATTTTTATTTAGTTAAGTTTATATAACATAATTATATATTACATTTATGAAATTTTATGTTCAAATGAGATTTTCAAATAGACTGAACACATATATGCTATTATGTGCTTTATTTAAATTTCCCTGAAGTTATTTATTTTTTCTTGTTTGTTTTCAACTCAATAGTTTAATTAGACTTCATACCATTAATCTTGGTCATTTTAAATTTGGATTTTTAATACTTCATTATATAATAAAATTAAAAATTAAAAATAACGTATTTACTTGTAATGGTGATAAGATTTACGACTCTTTTTTATGATCTCATGCTAGTGGGACATGCAGTTTTATGTAATCTGCTAATGTGGCTTAGTATTTTTATGTTTGAAGGGAATTTGTAATCTGTAATGTAAGGAATCTCATCCAGTTTATTAGTGAATTAAATGTTGAGGGAAGGTTCATTTTAGGAAAATTGGGGAAAAAATGGTTGTCCGGTATACTCTGCGTATATTATTCTAAGAAAAATAATTTATATATTTTTTAAACTTTTTGTTATAAACAAAAGTTAACAATAAATAGCTGGTCTACAATAACCGATAACTGGTCTACAAAAATATGATAGACTAGAAATGGACCTATGTGCCATTAACTAACAATTAGTTGTTTCCTTACCCTTCATTTCCATTTTTATATAATGCAAGATGAAATATTATTATCTTGTGATGTGGGAACATATTTGGTGAATAAAATTAAGAGGATAAGCTGGGGTTTGCAATATTTTGTGGGGAGATCAATAGTTAGTAAAAATAAATGATATAAATAAAGAAAAAATAATGATGTTAACCGATAATTAACAATACAACTAGTTTTATTTTTGTTCATGGTAGGATACTTGTGATTGAGAGAACTTTAAGAAAAAAAGACTATTGTGAACCAATTTTAATTAGCCAGCAACTTTTTCGTAATAGTAATTAAAATTGATTCTATCTGAAAGTGCAATTAGAGCATCATTGTGACTGAAAGATGATATTAATTTCATGAATTCTTTCACTGCATCCTGAAAAAAAAAATTACTGCTGAAAAATAGAAAAACATACATTCATATAAAATATATATTTATATTGTTATAAACAAAACTATTTTTTTTTTTTTTATGATGCCATATTAATCATGAAAATGGCACATGATTTATATGTGCATTAGCACAGAGGGAGTTTAAGTTGTAGGAGTGGTTTGTTTTGTCTATTAATAAGGGAAGTATCAAGGCCTTTTGGATTTGTTTATTTTTCATTGGAATGTTCAAAATTATAAGGATAACACCTTGTTAAATTAAGAAGTACAACTTAAAAAACATTTGCTATTTTCTAGTTAAAAAGTATTACAAGAAATTCAAAATAATTTTCCATTTAAGGAATAGTTGGTTGGCTGGTGTGGTCAACAAACCCGATGTTGGTATAATATATATTGGTATCCTACATTTCGACTAATGTCATCAGGACTAAAAAAAACTAGCCACCAAAAATTACTTTTAATCGGCACAAGATAAAAAAGTACAAAGTATCATATATTAATTACATATATATTTTAGAGGGGAAGAAAGGACAAATAGTAGTTGAAATGAGTATAAACTATTCCATAAATTAGAACTACAATCATTCATTTCCGTACCATCATTAATTTCTATATTTAGTAGTTTTTTTATTAATTATATTTTAAATGTAAATAACTACTCGACATATTTAAATTTAAGGTGTTATGTTTTTAAGTTGGAAACAATTTTCAATCATGCTTACTTCAAAATTATTCTGAAAGATTTTTATCTCTGCCATAAGTTTCATTGGATTGTCTGGTTGACCATTGGTTCTTAATAATTTCCTTTCCATGTTTTCCACTATTTTTTCAACATCAATTACTAAAGTATAAAAAAAATTCAAAAACATTTTTGCTTCCTAAAAAACAGCGTAGATTGATTATTAAACATAAATACATTTAAAATTTGTTATATATTAAGAAAAAACGCTCATTAAACTTTAATGCATTTAAAATTTGTTACATATTTAAGAAAAAATGCTCATTAAAACAGGAGATATGACAAGATTTTATTTTATTTTTAATCTCTAACCACGTATAGTTCTTACTCTCAGTGAAATAACAAATATTTATTTCACTATGATATTTTATGAAAGTCACTATCAGATCATCAGAATTTTTAAATTTTTTTTTTTCATTTATCCATGATTTAGAGAATAGGGTAAGAGTTTACGTTCAAGAAAAAATAGGGCAAAAATTCTTATGGAAAATAGATTTCATTTGTGCATAAATCAAAAAATAGAAATACATTTTATTGACTTTTCTTTTACTGCTTTGAATAACCAAGGTAATTCAAGGGAAAAATATTCAATTTGTTTGCTATTAACTTTTTTTTTTTGTATAATTACTAAGAAAATAATTACCTTGTTTTCTTCAGTTTGCATAGTTCCGTTGAGTATGTTATCCAACATTTGTCCATAAACATGTATGAGTTCATTGATGCATGTTGTATTATTTAAAATATTCCAGAAATGATTCCATTCTTTTTCAATTATTTCATACATAAAATAATAATCAAGTTGGTAAATGAATTGCATCATAATAGAAACAAACCAAAACAAAGTTCTCCAACAAGCATTTGTTCCTGAAATGTATTTTGTGGGTTTAAAAATTTTAATTTCCCGTATTAAGCGCTTTACTTCATAATATAAAATAATAAATGTATATAATCCTGGATATTATTATGATTTACCAAAGCCTACTTTATTTTTGTTCTTATTATAGTTTTTAAAAAAGGAACAATTAAAATACCCTTATATTTTTTCGAGTATATTGTATTATTAGAAATTTGAATTTTTCTTTTGGTTAATTAATTAATTAATATCTAATGTTATAAAGTAAAGAATGACAATGTTTGACATAATTTATAGTACTTTATTCAATATTGGATATTTTTGAAATATTGGTATTGACAATGAGATTTAAGTAACATACCTACTTTGATCAAGATGAACTTTCTTCATTATGTACAACAAAATCTTTCTCTGACTACATAGAGAAAACTGAATATGTTGTTTTCTCCATAAGAAAGCAAACATTTTCTGATAAGATGTTTCATATATATAAAATATCTGAAACATGTAGTAAAATAATTTTATGTTAGTTTAATTCTCTTTAAATTATTATTGCATATTTATTATTTGGATATTATTTTTTTTTTCTACTAATATCAATTCAATTTTGAAAGATAGTAGGATGTGTATACAAGTACATGAATCAAGGACAAGAATTTAAACCATAAATAGTTTGTAAAAAAAAAAAAAATTCCTCATTTTAAAAATAATATAGTAAAAGTCATTGAATTATGCAAGTGATTTCAATATTCTTATGGCAGTATGTTGGCGGATTGAGATATGACAAGTGGAGCTTTAAAGAGTCCGAGGAGGATATCATGATCTGGTTGGAATATTCCCATAAAATTTACTGTTCCCTACGTTTTAAGGCCCTAAAATTTACCAGTTTTGGGGCTCATTGGGACACCATAATTCTAATGAGAGCCTCCTAGGTGCTATGGTTACCATGGGATACTTAGCACTTATAAATTTGATTTTAAAAATTAAAATATTGATATTTATTGTAGTTATGGTAAATTAAAAAACTGATATGATGCAACACAACTTTCACTTATCACCCTACTTCAAATTAATTAAATTAAATCAATTTTTTTAAAGTCAATAAACCTTAAGAATATTATTTTAACCAAAAATTCACAATATTTGTGCAATATATTTTTTTGTTTCATCAGGTTGAAAAAAAAATTAGTTTTATTTATATTTTATATAGAAATTGCATTTAGAGGAAAAGATTTATTTCCCATTCAATAACTTAAAAGTAGATATTACTAACTATAATAATTAAAAGCCATTAGCTTTTCTTTTCATCACTCTCAATTACTTTCTAATTAAGTAACTAAACAATTAAAGAAATGTTTTTATAAAAAAAAAAAAAAAAAAAAAGGTTAGATATTCTTTTTTCTAAAATCTTTAGTTCTTCAATGATTCATCATACTACATGGATTTATCTAGTTTAAAATGAGAAAATCATTGATATAAAGTGATTCTTCTAACAAGTACCATCAATTTTTGCAAAATGGTCGTAAAATCCAAGATTTTACTTAACATTAATACCTAATTTCAGTGCCACATGTCTTATAGTTATTGAGCTTCACTGTTTACATTCAGAGTTGCAGACAAACATACATTTTTGTGAGACTTGATTATTTCAAGGGGATCTTGAAACATTTATATCTGTTGCAAATTCAGGTTTAATTTTTTTTAAAGATTGCATTACTTTCCCTTACTTCATATAACAGGAAAGTGAAAGTAAAAATATTTAATGAATTTCCTATTCAGGTCTTTATTATAAATTCCACTCATAATAAATGAGAAAATTACAAACTAAAGATCCTAGGCAAACCAAAGAAAACAATATTTTATTATCATAAGTTTATAGATAGCTATTATTGCCTAAGTGTTAAACCTGAAATGATATTTTCTAGTGGACAAGGCTATTACGCGTATTAAGCAAATTTTTATTTCAATATATTTATCAGTAAGTATGTTTGTTGAATAGACATTCTTTATAATACATTTTTGATATAAACAATCACATTATCCCAATATTGCATATGCTTCTAATGTGTTAGGGAGTAGAAGGATATATATTTAATGCTATAGTTCTTACTCGTGTTTTATAGTTTAAAATAAATTTAAAAGTTTG